TAACTGGAGCAGGAATCTCCGATATGCCTTGGATGCCCATTTCAGTAAAGAAATATATTTAAAAAGTCTTAGGGGGGGCATGTCTCCCCAGCCCCACAGTGCCTGTGCCTAGATGTCTGGGGGTTTGTAACAGTGTTTGCATTTTTCACTGTCTGGTTTTAATGCCAAATGGATGTAGCTGGATTAATGTGAGATCTGGTCTCCTCGGGGTATTTCGGTTCCTCAGGGGTGGAAAATATGATAAACCCTTTTCCCCCCTTCCCTGGTTCATGTTCTTCCCCTCACCCCTGTAGTCTATGTGCTCCTGCCTGGGACCCCCACCGCTCAGTCCTGCGGCCATTCCATCAAACAGAAAGCCAGCCAGGGAGCTAGGCTGTGCTGAGTTATGGAAACCATTCCCTATGCAGTCCTGCTGCTGCATGGCACAATGGATCCCAATGCCCCATTGTTAGGTCACTGGGAGAGCGGCACAGGGCTCTACCGACGGCATCTGCAGAGTCTGGGCTGGCTCAGAAATAAGGAGCACAAGCGAAAAGACTCGCAGAGCAGGAGGGGAGATGCAGAAACAATGCTGTCTCCATACATGGGTTTATTTCTTGGCTTTGCATGTGTCTGAAATATGTAACTGCATGTAAAATGTACTTAAAACAGTGCAGATCCAGCCAGTGTGCTTGATATTTGTAACACATGCTCTGAGGCTTTGCAGGGCATGATTGTGTGGTGTGCATATCCGAGATCCTGCCGCACTGTCTGTAAAGGAGGGACTTGCCCAAGCATGCTTGACCAATACCCTTATTCCCCCAATGTTGTGCACTGTTCTGCCTGGGTGGCTGCTGTCCCCCTCCCCAGAGATGACTGCATTTCGGTGGTGCTGTATGCACATTCAAAAGCACTTTGCACTGAAAGATGCTATGGAAATTAAGGGCCTGATTTAATTTCCATGGACGTCAAGGGGGGATGCCTCCTCCCCTACGATTGATGCAGGAGTTTGTTACTTTTGTGCTTCGTAACTCTCACGAGGCTCAGGTGCACTCGTTGTTGCTGTGACCGCCTGGGGGCATCTTCACTCTGCCACAACCAGACCTCAGAGTCTTTGAGCTCTGTGCCATCAGGGCACTGAAGTTGGCAGCGCACAGGATCCCCCACAGCGGCTGGGACTCCATTCCAAATCACAGGCTTTTGTCCTCCGCTGCGGAGAAATGGAGCCATGCAATCCTCACCGTCCTGCCCTGGTGGTGGCCCTGTGTCTACTAGATTCAGTGCAAGTTGCTGGTGTGCCGCAGGATATTGGATTGACAGCACACAGCTGTGCTGGGGAAGTTGTCGGGAAAGCTGGACTTGTTGGTAGCTGGAGCATTTGGTATCCGGAAGGGGTCAGCAGTCAGTCTGAGCTTTTTGTACCAAGAAGATGCTGGGAGCTTTTGGTCCCTGGGGGAATGTGATGGATCTCTGTCCTTCCCAAAAAGGCTCAGAGCCTGAAATTCCTAGCCCACTGCCTTAGCAGTCCTGGACAACAACCAGCCCCCCACTCAGTGCACCAGCTGGATATGTTTGCTAACTAATCGGGGGTGAAATAATGAACTATTTTGGCATGCTATGATCATCATTAGGTTTCAGAGACAACATCCATTAAGCTAATGGGAGCAGTTCATCTCTCTCTCTATGAGCTCTTGTTTCTGGCTGTATGTAGACTCAGGAAGACAACTTTGCATTGGTTACATTTGATTCAGGCTGTCGGGATTTGCTCAGCAACCGTTAGGGCTGCAACCTCTTTTTAGACAGAGTGAAGATTCTGGGTGTGAATTCTGTGGCAGCAGGTGAATGTGTGCAGCACTGCTTCCGTAGCACCTAGCTGTGCATGGGGCTGTATATGAGGGGACCTGATACAGTGCTGTGCATGGTGCTGCAAAGAGAGGGGACCTGACATGGGCCCTGAGCCTGCAAACAGCCACGTGTGCCCAGTTTCACACATGTGACTAGGTCCCACTGAGACTGCTTCTATGAGGCAGGTTGCACAGGTGTTTGCTTAGTACCCCACCTGACCTCATTTAAGTCAATGACTCAGCTCTCATCAGCTTCAGCATGCTACTGACTGGGTTATCAGCCATCCATAGCACCTTCAGGTCCATCTCTCTGACCTAGACTCACCTTTTCTATCCATTGGCAGTACGGTGTGTCACGGAGTCACCGGGTGATGCTCTGGAGCTACTCCCTATGAAGCCAGTCAGGACTCTGGGGGAGCCTCCTCTCTCTGAGCAGGCTGTCTCCAGGGCAAGAAGCTTCCACAGTTTCGACCTTCCTGGGTCTGACCTTGGAGCCTTCAGCATCCCCTTCAACACTGTGCGCTTCCTGGGCGGGGCTGCTGGGAAAGCCAGAGGGCCCTGCACCTCAACTCCACAGTCAGACGGGATTCTCAGCCAGCCGGTAAAACAGAAGGTTTATTAGTTGACAGGACCACAGCGTAGAACAGAGCTTGCTATTACAGACATCAGTGACTTTCAGCCAAGTCCATCTTGGGGGTCCTGGGCCAGACATCTTAGACTCTCCCTCTTCCAGTCCCCCCACACAGACTGCCTGCTTTGTCACATCTCTCCCCCCTCCGAGACTGAACTGAGTGGGGCCACTTTAGCCAGTGGCCTTGGGAAGTTCCGGCCCCCCTCTCCGGGACAAAGCACTGGCTCTCACATTGGCACTCCCCTTAACATGGACCACCTCCTGGTCATAATCCTGAAGCTGGAGACTCCACCTCAGGACCTGGCGTTGGCCCCTTTCATCTGGTGTGGCCATGTCAGGGGCGAAGGGTTGGTGTACACGCTGACGCGCCGCCCAAGTAGATACAGCTGCAGCTTTTTAAGGGCCCACACCATGGCCAGGCGTTCCTTCTCTCTGGTCGCGTAGTTCTGCTCCCAGGGCAGCAGCTTCCTGCTCGGGTACACGATGGGGTTTCTCTCCCCCTTTCCGTCAACCTGCATTAGCACCGCATCCAGCTCTGTGTTTGAGGTGTTGGTGAACACCATAAAGGGCTTGTCAAAGTCTGGGTTTACCAGCACCGGGCCCTTGACCAGAGCCTTCTTCAGGGCACAGAGAGCTCTCTGGAACTGCTCAGTACAGACCACCTTATCTGACTTACCCGCCCCATCACTGAGCTATGTAAGAAGGGTATGAAGCTAAAGTGGGGCACGAACCTCCGGTAGCAGCCGGCCATCCCAGTGAAAGCCTGGACCTGCTTCTTAGTCTGGGGAGGGGGCCAATCTCTGATCACCTCCACCTTGCCTGGCTCAGGCTTAAGGCAGCTGCTCCCCACCTTGTGGCCCAGGTATGACACCTCTGACATCCCAACTTTGTACTTCCCTGCTTTTATAGTCAGACCTGCATCCCAGAGCCGGTCCAGCACTTGTTTAACCTGGGACACATCGTCCTCCCAGGTCTGGCTAAAAACACAGATATAATCAATATACGCCAGGGCAAAATCCTCCATCCCCTTGAGTAACTAGTCCGCCAGACTCTGGAAGGTGGCAGGTGCCCCCTTCAGGCCAAAAGGTAAGACCAGGAACTCGTATAACCCCAGAGGGGTGATAAAAAGCAGATTTCAGCCTGGCATTTGGATCCAAAGGTACTTGCCAGTAGCCCTTGGTGAGATCCATAGTAGTGAGATAACGAGCCCTCCCAACTTGTCTAGGAGCTCATCAGGACTAGGCATGGGGTAAGCATCAAACTTGGTGATGGCATTAAGCTTTCGGTAATCCACACAAAACCAGATGGACCCATCCTTCTTGGGGACCAACACCATAAGAGAGGCCCAAGGGCTATAGGACGGCTGAATCACCCCTTAAGCCAGCATGTCCTTGACCTCTCTCTTCAGGTTCTGGGCTGTTTTCTCAGTGACCTGGAACAGGGAGCATCTTACAGGGGGGTTGGCTCCTGTCTGCACCTGGTGGACAGCCAGGTTAGTGAGCCCAGGCCGGTTGGAGAACTGCTGTTGGTAGGAACCCAGCACCTCTGGGATCTCTGCTTGCTGGGCAGGAGTTAGCTGGTCAGAGAGGGGAACTGATTCATAGACGCTGACTCCGTGGGTACTCCGGGGCTGGAGCACCCATGGGGAAAAATTAGTGGATGCTCTGCACCCACCGGCATCCAAGCTCCCCCCTCCTTTTCCCCTACCACTGAGCACGTCGTGTCCCTGCTCCTCCCTTCCCAGTGCTTCCCGCCCCCCCCTCCACCACCACCCCTGTTGCCTAACAGCTGTTTGGTGGCACTTAGGACTTTCCGGGAGGGAGTGGGAGGAGTGGGGTCACAGCACGCTCAGAGGAGAAGGTGGAGAAGAGGCGGGGGAGGGGTGGGGACTTGGGGGAAGAGATTAAATGGGGTGGGGACGGGGCAGGGAGGCGGGGGGGTATCAAGCACCCACCGGGCAGAGGGGAAGTCCATGCCTATGAACTGATTCCAGTGAAGGGCCGACCACGTCTCAAGGAATAGATCCACCAAGGGATCATCTCCCTGCTCCTCCCGCTGGCCACACACGGCCAGTACCAAATTCTTCCTGTCAGAGTACGGCTTCATTGTGTTGACATGGTTCACCCAGGCTGTGCACCTGCTTAGACAGTTCCACGACATAGTTCACTTCATTCAGCTGCTTGATGACCTTAAAGGGCCCTTCCCAGGCGGCCTGTAGTTTGTTCTTTCTCACGGGAATGAGAACCATCACCTGGTCCCCGGTGGCATAGGAGCAGGCCCGTGCTGAGCAGCCATACCAGACCTTCTGCTTCCCTTGGGCCCTGGCTAGATTCTCCCTGGCCAAGTCCATGAGCTCGGTGAGCTTTTCCCAGAAAGTCAGTACATACTGCACCACTGATTCTCTGTCGGGAGAGGCCTTCCCCTCCCATTCGTCTCTCATCAAGTCCAAGGGTCCCGTCACTCTCCTCCCACACAGCAACTGCAAAGGAGAGAACCCAGTTGATTCTTGGGGCATGTCGGAGAAAAACACAGTTCTCACTCTCAGGTTGGGTGCAGCAAGTCCGATACACTTTATTATCTCAAGCAATTGCACAGAGGGAGAGAGTGCACTGGGACACAGGGTTTCCCCCACCTAGGCCAGTCTCTCCAAGATAAACAATTAGAGCAAGTATTTCTACCTTTGTTACAGACAATAATAAGCAACAGCTGCATATTGGTTGTATATATTTCTTCATGATCTCTTATTTTTCTTATAATTTCTCTTGTCCTCGACATTCTCTTCTTATCTCATACAAGGCCACACCAGCCTCTTTCACAGTTGTTTCCCACTCGCTTCGCACTATCCCCGCTTCTACAAATCTCACGTCATTAAAGCTAGAGTTAGCCCAACTCCTGCTCAATATAGAGGCCTGCATCCAAATTCCCTTTATCTACTTCCACAGGCACTTCCCGATAGGCGAACAACAGGTGGGGTAAATACCTGAGGGTGCTGGTCCATAAATGTTTTCAGCATCATCTTTAGGGTCCCACTGAACCTCTCCACCAGCCTGCTGGACTGAGGGTGATATGCTGAGGCCCAGTTGTGCCAGACCCCACATTTCTCCCACAAGGACTGGAGCAGAGTTAACATGAAATTGGAGCCCTGTTCTGTAAGGACCTCCTTGGGGAACCCCACTGTGCTGAAAATGGTCAGCAGCGCATCTGCCACAGTGTCTGCCTCGATAGGGGACAAGGCCATTGCCTCAGGATAGCAAGTAGCGAAATCTACCACCACCAGAATGTATTTTTTCCCTGTCCGAGTTGCCTTGCTGAGGGGTCCCACTATGTCCACAGCCACCTTCTGGAAAGGCTCCTCTATGATGGGCAGGGGCCTCCAAGCTGCTTTCCCCTTGTCCAGGTCCTTCCCCACCCTCTGGCAGGGGTTACAGGCAGAGTGTCCTTCACTGGCCCTGGCTACAGGTGATGACTAGGGTGCTCTGGGGGTCACCAGACCAATACAGCAGGTCACCCCCCATCAGCACCTCGGTTGGCAACTGATGGTGCACCCCCATGTCTTTGGGCCCCTCCTTGGTCACCCATTTCAGATGTACCCTTGCCGTGGGTACCTTAAATGGGGGCCCGCACACACCAGTCAGGGTCAGGTAGTGATGAGCACTACCCGGTCTGGGGCCACCACCTTGGGCCGGGCCAGCATCACCTCAGCGCCCGTGTCCCAGTACCCAGTGACCTGCTTCCCATCCACTTCCAGGGGAATGAGGCACTCGCTCCTCAGGGGCTGCCCCACACCCACCCTGTAGACTGAGAAGTTTGAATCCAGAGTATCAAGCCCCCCCAGGAGCTGGCCTGGGAGACTCCTCCCTCTTGGACCATTGCTAAACTGCCAGCCCCTTCTGCCTGGGGAGCCAGCCCCTCCTCCAGGTGGGCTCCCACCCAGTTAACCCTTTGAGGGCTTGGATTGCTCATCCTGTCCCTGAGCTTTTGCACTGGGCCCATCTGTGGCCCCTCTGCCCACAGTAATTACACCTCAGGTCCCTTTGGTCCCCTGGGACCGGTTGGTCAGCTCGCGTATTGGCTGTGCCTCTCAGAAGGGATTTATCCAAGACTCCCTTCTGGAAATCCCCTGGGTGACCCCCTTTCTGCACTGATGTGGGCCTGTCCACCTGGGATTCCATTCCATATCCTGACCTGCTGTCTACAAACTCGTCAGCCAGAAGCCCCACATGGTGCAGGTCCTTCAGCCTCTTGTCCACCAGCCACATCATCAGTTCAATCACGTCCTCCTTGGTCTGGGCCCTGGCCCCATTCACCCACTTGCGTGTGTATTCCCCCATCAGCGTGACCAGTTCCAGATAGGTCATCCCCTGGGTCTTCTGCATTCTCCAGAACATTTTCCTGTACGCCCCGGGGTCAGCTCAAACTTGCGCAGCAGGGCTTGTTTGAACAGTTCATAGTCCCCGGCTTCCACCCCATCCATCTGGCTGAACATCTCTATGGCTTTGGGACCCAGTAAGGGGGTGAGATGCCGAAGCCTGTCTGCAGGGTCAACCTGGTGCACATTGCAGGCCTTCTCAAAGGCAGTGAGGAAGGCATCTATCATCCTCTTCCTTAAACTGAGGCAGTACTTTGGTATCGGAGTTCCCTGTGGGCTTAGCCACCCTGGGACCATCCCCACTCAGCACGGTAGGGATCTCTCTGCTTCTCAGCTCCACCATCACCAGTTCATGCTGCCTCTGTCTCTCACGGTCCTCCTGCTCCTTCTGTTTCAGTTCCATTTCCAACTCCAACCGTCTCAGCTCCACTAACGGGGAACTCGGCCGTGAACTTCCCACTGCTGGTTGGGAAGGTGGATCATGGGGCTGCCTAGCTGCTTTTAGCCCCTCCCGCGTCACCAGTTGGGTCAGTGGCTGGGGTGACCCCTGGGGCTTCCTGACTCTCTCTCGTGGCCCCAGCTGGGTCAGGAACCAGCTCCTTAGAGCGATCATTCTCTTCCAACCAAGCAATCAGCTGTGCCTTGGTGAATCTTCCAATGTGCAGCCCTCTCTCTCTGCACAGGTCTACAATGTCCTCCTTAAGGAGATGGTTATAGGCCATCTTCACGCTGTTCACAAGTGGTCACGGACTCACAGGCCTGTGCTCTCTCAGCTCCCTCTCAGCTCCCTTCAGTGCCACAGCCCTTCTTGGGGGTCCCACCCTCTCTCGGGTTTAAACCATAGGCTCCTCCGCCTCGTGGAACCGCACCTCTTGGAGCCTTCAGCTAATCCCCTGCTCTTCCCCCTTTGTTCTGCTGCTCCCCAGTCACTTACGGCAGGCTGCGCTGTCCACGGGGTGCAGTTGATCCCACCAGTTGTCACAGAGTCACCGGGGCGCTGCTCTGGAACTGCTCCATACGAAGCCAGTCAGGACTCTGGGGGAGCCTCCTCTCTCTGAGCAGACTGTCGCCAGGGCAAGAAGCTTCCACAGCTTCCACCTTCCTAGGTCTGACCTCGGAGCATTCAGCATCCCCTTCCACACCATGTGCTTCCCGCAGCAAGTCCGCCTGGGCGGGGGCTCCTGGGGAAGCCAGAGGGCCCTGCACCCCAGCTCTGCAGTCAGACGTGACTCTCAGCCAGACAGTAAAACAGAAGGTTTATTAGTCGACAGGAACACAGTGAGGAACAGAGCTTGCTATTACAGACATCAGTGACTTTCAGCCAAGGCCGTGTTGGGAGTCCTGGACCAGACATCCTGGACTCCCCCTCTTCCAGTCCCCCCACGCACACTGCCTGCTTTGTCACACGGTGAAATCCCCAACTACGTGGGGGAGAGAGAGGCTGCACAAAGGAGATCGTGTAGAACCAATTGTAAAAGGAGCCCGTGTCCTGGCTGAAACACAGGGAACCGAGATGCATCAGCTCTCCACCCCAGGAAGGGCACCATGGTTCAGGACAGCATCACTGCCTGTTGTGGTGTCTCTAGGACTAGGGTCTGGGGACCTCTCCAACATCCATAGAGAAGCCAACTCTGTGGGGATCTGATCTATTGATGGGCATTTCTGGGGCACCTATCACTGTTGAATCAGTAGAGATACCATGGCTTAAGATGGCAACTTGCCTGGAAACAGAGCATTTAAGCTGGTCAGCCTGGAAGGGGCTGGGTACACGGCTGCAGGGGCTGGCTTCCTAGATGGCTAGGGGAATGTGGGAAGCAGGAGGCAGTGTTGCAAATCCCTCCATGCTTTCAGTGCAAAGGTAGGCGAGCCTGTTTGGCGATCTGTCCGGTGCTAACAGGACACTTCCCAGTAATAACCCCAGCACCTTTCAGCCCCGGATCTCGAAGCCCTTTCGGAACATTTGTTAACCAACAGGAGCCTGCATATGGGTTTCTGCAAATGAGCTTTTGCCCTTTTGCTTGCTCCTTTGTAATGAAGAAGAAAAGCCTGACCAGGCTTAGTAGGAAAATAAAATCAATCCTGCTTGTTTTTCTACCTTCAGAATCTCAGGAATTCCAGTCTGGCTTTGCTCGACCCCCCCTGAGTGTCCCACAGCCTGGGCTCCCTCCAAGAGCTGTATTTTAGCAAAGACGTCCTTCCTCCCAAGTGTGCACTAGGCATTGGAGTTAATTGTATTTTAACAAAAGCAAAACTGAAAGCAAAGGCCCTGAGTATCTTCTTACTGACCACAGTTTTACCCGTGTAACTCCACTGAATTCAATGCAGTTACTCCTGATTTACGCCAGCGTGAGTCAGAGGAGAACTAGGTCTGGAGAGTTTTAAATAGTCGATGGAAAATAGTTTCTCCATTCAGCTTCTCACCTTCTCTCTTGGCTCTTCACGAGTTCTCATGTCACTGGGGAAGCTCCCAGCCTAGACAGACCCTGAATTTCCAAGGGTTAAAAAAACAAGCACTTTTCTGTTGGACAAAACCCTTTCTTCAGGCCTGCTTTCTCCGCCAGAAGGAGGCAAGCCTGGTTGTTTTCTCCTGTAAGGCTCTCAGTCTCCCCGAGGTTGGTATTTAGCTGTTATACAGGTAGGGAAGCTGGCCCCCAGGGCGGTTAAAGTGACAGGGGAGGGATAGCCCAGTGGTTTGAGCATTGGCCTGCTAAACCCAGGGTTGTGAGTTCAACCCTTGAAGGGGCCATTTAGGGATCTGGGGCAAAAACTGGGGATTGGTCCTGCTTTGAGCAGGGGGTTGGACTAGATACCTCCTGAGGTCCCTTCCAACCCTGAGATTCTATGACTAGCCTACGGTTATGCAACGAGTCGGGAGTCTGGGCCAGGATTGGACACAGGAGTTCCTACCTCCCCTAAGCCGTGCTGTGATAAATTCTCCCTTTGTAGCATATGCGCTGTGTAGAGCAGCATCCCGCAGGGACAAAGATCCATTTGTGCCTGGCTGCCTCCTGAAGTTACAGCCCAGGCTGTCCTTTCCACCCAGCCCTCGCATATCTTGCACCAAGGCCGACCAGCTGGCATTTCCCTCGGCTTTGGGGGAACTGAGCAGGCGTATACCCACACTCCTCACTCCTCTCTCCCTGTCGCAGCAGCTAGGGCCCCGTGGAGGAGGGAATCCCATCTCTGGCATTTATGGATGGATCTGAGAACCACATGTCCCTTATTTCAAGACCCATCTGTGCCCCGGGTCGCTGGTTATTGTACAAAAACAGGGGGTTTCACCCTGACTGGCTGCAAAGCCCAGCAGCCTGGCCCCGTGCAGGGGCCTCCAGTAGGTCAGCTAGTGTCACTGCTAGTAGGCTGCATCAGAAGAAACCCCCCAGATCAACCCACAGTAATGTTGCCACCCAGCCCTGCGGGTGCCCTGCCAGGGAGCAAGCTCCTCCCTCCCGCCAGCCCTGCCCTGCGTGTCTTGGAGGCCTGCAGGTGAGCTGGGCTCTGTGATTCCCAGCTTATGCAGCAGGAGCCGTGCGGCTGTGGCAGCAGGTCTGGCTAGCTGCCCAGGTGTGTACCCAGAGTCTGGGCAGGTCTGGACTCAGGGGGGCTGGCCTGAGCTCTGCCGGTGCTATCTCAGCTACCCTGCCATTTTTAGCATGCCAGCTTGAGCAGAGCTAGCGTGGGAATGTCTAAGTGAGCTGGGAATCAGCCCTCCTCTCTCAAATGGAGACGGCCCCGTAGCACCAGATCCATGGGGAGGCTGCAGGTGACGAGTCTATGGCTAGCCACATGCAAGGGGCTATTGAGCAGGCCTGGAAGCTAGTGGTCTCCTTTCTTCTCCCCTCTCCTGCCCCAATGGATTGCGGCAGGGTGTTGGGTGGGAACTAGAAGAAAGCTAAGGACTGAGAGGGAATGCAGCCCTGGGTGGCTTTCTGCTTGCAGAGAGTCCCAGCATACGCAGGATCGGTGCCTAAGAGTGGGAGAGGATGACAGGAAGAGCAGAGGAGAGAAGAGAAAGGGAGGCAAAGTAAAGAGAAAAGAGGAGAAAGGAATGAGCAGCTTTCTCGCCTCTCGTCCTCCCTGCTGACAAACCTTGGTTCACCTCCCTGCCCTCTACTCCAGGGGTTCTCAAACTGTGGGGTTGGGAGTTGATTACATGGGGGGGTAGCAAACTGTCAGCTTTGCCTCCAGCATTTATAACTGTGTTAAATATATTAAAAAGTGTTTTTAGTTTATAAGGGGGGTCGCAGTCAGAGGCTTGCTATGTGAAAGGGGTCACCAGGACAAACGTTTGAGAGCCACTGCGCTACTCCAGCCACCCCCTAGCAGCCCTCCTCCCATGGGAGACAAACCCTGCTTAGTTTTAAACAGGAAGACTGTCTCCAACGCTGGACAAGATTTGCAGCAGCACAGTGCGTCCCAGGGACCTTTCTGGCTGGGCTTTGTGCGCGTGCAGTCGTCTCTCAGAGCGCCCTGTGCTGTGGACAGCATTGCAAGTCCGAGTCTCCCTCGACTCATGGATGACCTGGGGCAAGTCTTCGTCAAGCTAAACTGCAGAAAGCTGCATACTGCAGGGGCCACAGGGACAGGGACAGGCAAGGGAAAGTGCAGCGCGGCCGCCTGCTGCATTCGCTGCCCACCCAGGTTCTCTCGCAGCGAGGAGGTGTCGTCTGTCTTGTTTCTGCATAGTTCCGCTCCTGGTCGGCAGAGCAGGCTGAGATCGGTTTGGCCAGAGCCAGCCTTGGCGGTGTTGTGTGGCCTTACAGAGCAGTTTTATCATGAGTCCTGTAAGATTTGGTGTTTTTCTGAAAGCCCCCCCGTGAGATGGGGAGAATTTGAGGGCTGGCCTCCACTGAAAAGAGACCCGGAAAATACCCCTCCCCCCAAAGAGCAGTAGCTAAGTAGCAGTATCACTGTCTTGTTTTATGTGTAGCCATCAGCTCGGCTTTCATTTCACAGAAAAAGGGACGTTTTTCTAGTCCCGATGGGTTCTGAGAAAAGCTTGAAAACATATTTGGGGACGGGAAGGAATTTTCCCCCGTGTCAGATTATCTGGGACCTTCAGGTGTTTTGCTTTCCCCTGCAGCGTGAAGTGTGGGTTGTTTGCCGGGACCATCGGGGTCACGGTGTATCTCAGCTGATCTATTCCCAGGCATTGCAGGGACCACGGGCGCAGGGTACGCCTCTCTCCCTCCTGTTCGCTGCCTGTGGCAGGCAGCAGGTTCGTCTCCTGGGAGCTGTGGTACTCGGCTTACTTTCAGTCGCTGGGTCAGTGCACGAGTGCAGGGTGCTGCTGGTGGCCTGTGAGGTACAGGAGGTCAGACGGATGACCTGATGGCCCCATCTAGCCTTGAAATCTATGACGGGATCCCCTAAAGTCCCCAGCAGCAGAAGGCTGATAAAGAACCCAACATTGATTGTATTTTGAAATCTCATGATTTCGAGCCCGATCTTGTGATTTTGGGGGACAGACCCATGATTGTTGAGTCCTTGGGATTGGTGATTCTGATCCAAGAAAGTCACTCCTGAGTGCCCAGGACCAGCTAGAGGACAGAGAGAGTCTGCAGGATGATTCTTTGGCATCCCCGCTTCTTAACTGACTCCATTTTTGTACAAGCGGGGTGGGAGAAGGAGGCTCTCTGAGTCTTGTCTCGCCTGCTGCAGGAGAGGTGCCCCCATGGGGTGGGGAGGTCTGGGCATAGGCTCGAGACATCCCAAAAAGCTTTCCAGGGAAGAGTTGTCCCAACAGGCTGGGGCCCAGAGGGCTGTGCGTGCTGGTGGGTTTTAGCACACCTGTAGCACTTCACAAACGCCAAGGTTGAAATCAGGGCTGCACCTCCAGTAGGTGCAGCCTCAAGGCAAGTCGCATTAAGCCACCTCTGTGCCCTCTCTCTTTGGGGCTGCTCTTTGTGGCCAGCAGCTCCTCTCCAGCATGGCGGCCTGCCCCAGAGCTGCCTCGGAGAAGCTCTGCAACCTGAAGTTCTCCAGAATCCACAAAGCGATGTGTTATGGGGAGTCCTGGCTCTGCCCTCAGCAGCCCCTCTGGGATTCTCCTGCTACAACCCTCCTTCATTGTCCCTGCCCCTCTGGGAGGGAGAGATGGAGTGTTGTCCCCATTTTACAGATGGGGAAACTGAGGCACGGAGTGGCTAAGAGCAACATTTCCAGACTTGGTGCATAAAGTCAAGCTCCTTGATCCATATCTGGGAACATAAATAAATACAGGTGGGCTGAAGTCCAGCGCAGACGTGACCCTGCCTGGCCAACAGGGGCTTTGAGCTCGACCTTCAGTGCTAAGGCCATGAGCCTCCACTGCAGAGCAATGACAGGACAGGTGGAACTGGGAAATGTCCTGCCCCTGGAGGCCTCTGGCAAATGTCCCTCCCTCCTGTGCCGGGATGGGGGAACTTCTGGGGTTGCTCCATCATGCCCGCAGTGAGACAGAGAGAATGCTGAGCTATCCCCTTCCCGCCTGGTGTGAACCAGGGGCCCCTCTCATCTGGTGTGGGGCAGAGGGGATTCTGGGATGGTGCCCTCCTGTCTGGTGTGGGGCAGAGGAGATTCTGGGATAGCACCCTCCTGTCCCACATGGGGCAGAGGAGATTCTGGGATAGTGCCCTCCTGTCCAGCGTGGGGCAGTGGGGATTCTGGGATGGCGCCCGCCTGTCTGTTGTGGGGCAGCGGGGATTCTGGGATGGCGCCCGCCTGTCTGTTGTGGGGCAGCAGAGAACTGGGGGCTGGTGCCCTCCTGCGCCCTGCAGGAGAGAGCAGTTGGGGGGTTACCTGTGGGAAGTTGAGTTAGGAGCAGCTGGGCAAGGTGATGCTCTTGGGCGTGGGGAGGGGGAGCCAGTGGAAATGAATTCTTTCTTGACATGGCTGTGGAGCTGAGGCTGCCGATGAGCTAAGGAGAGAGCAAAGGAAATGAGTTAACCCAGCCCTGCCCCCTCAGTGCAGCCCAGGGACCCTCCCCACCCCCAGCCATGGGCCACTGTGCCCCCTTTCCTTTTGCTGCAGGTCGTTACTGCCACAGTAACGACCTGCAGCAAAAAAAAGGGGGCACAGTGGCCCATGGCTGGGGGTGAGGAGGGTCCCTGGGCAGTTTCTCACAACAGAAGGCAACCAGCCTGGTGGGGAGGAAGGGCAGGCAGTCTGCTTCCACAGCCACTAGAGCTGTACCCCACAGAGCTGTGGAGGGCGGAAACCAATGTTTTGTCCTTTACGCAGATCCCTGTGAAGTAATGGCTATTACCCCCTTGGCAGGGGGAGGAAGTTGAGCTGAGGTGACAGAGAGAACCCAGGAGTTCTGACTCCCTGTCCCCTGCTCTAACCACTAGACGAGACTCCCCTCCAGGGGTGGGAACAGACCCCAGGAGTTCTGACACCTAGTCATCTGCTCTAGCTACTAGTCCATACTTCCTTGTTAAACTGGAGTATAACCCCAGAACTGTGATTCCCGATCCTTTGCTCCGACTCCTATGGCACACTCCCTTGCCCAGGTGGGAACAGAACCGTGGGGCCTCTGTCCTGGGTGCCTGCTCTGGCATGGGGAGGAGGGGGAGGAGTGGGGGCTGTGGGTTAAATTCAAGGAGCTGCCGTTCACGGTTCCCACTGCCTATGGTGACCAGGTGTCTGGTTTTTGACTGGAACACCCAGTCGAAAAGGAACCCTGGTGGCTCCAGTCAGCACCACCGATCGGGTCGTTAAGAGTCCGGTCAGCGGTGCTGCAGGGCTAAGGCAGGCTAGTCCCTACCTGTCCTGGCACTGCACTGTGTCACAGAGTCCCCAGGCGATGCTCTGGAACTGCTCCCTACGAAGCCAGGCAGGACTCTGGGGAAGTCTCTCTGCGAGCAGCCTGTCTGCAGGGCAAAAAGCTCACACGGCTTCCACCTTCCTGGGTCTGACCGCAGAGCATTCAGCATCCTCTGCCCCTCTGTGTGCTTATCCTACCACCTAGAGACTTAAGAAATGCATAGGGGAAACTGAAGCACCCCTACAGTATTCAGAGGAAACATTAGGAACAGTTCCACTTCGTCACACACTGCATCCAAGAAGCGAAGCAGCCAACAGCCAGCTGCACCCCAAACCCCTCATCCCCGGCCCCACCCCAGAGCCCTCACCCCCTGCACTCCAAACCCCCTGCCCCAGCCCAGAGCCCGCTCACACACCCCACTCCCTGCCTCAACCCACAGCCCCCTCCCATGTGTCGAATCTCTCGGCCCCAGCCTGGAGCCCCTTCCTGCACCCTAAACCCCTCATCCCGCACCCACAGCCCAGAACCTGTACTCCCTCCCACACCCCAACCCCCTGCCTTAACCCACAGCCCCCTCCCACATTCCAGATCCCTAGGCCCCACCCCCAGCCTGGAGCCCTCTCCTACACCCCAAACCCCTCATCCTCAGCCCCACCCCAGAGCCCACACCCCCAGCCAGAGCCTTTACCCCCTCCCTCACCCCAAGCCCCTGCCCCAACCCAGTTAAAGTGAGTGGGGGGGGGAGAGTGAGCCACCGAGGGAGGGAGAAATGTAGTGAGCGGGGGCGGGACAGGGGCAGGGACTCGGGGAAGGGGTAGGGTTAGGGTTTTCGGTTTTGCGTGATTAGAAAGTTGGCAACCTTATGCCTGCTGCTGAATTGATCGAGGATGGGGAAGAGCAGGAGGACCCATGCTGCCCACCCCACCCCACTCCTAGAGATGCCACACACAAGACATTGGCCCTTTGCAGGCCTAGGGGGACCCACGCCCTAGCTGTCCCATAGCAAGGAAAGGCCCACACTCCAAACTGTCTCTCCCCCCACTGATCTAAGCAGCTACGTTTCTCTCCTGTGCTTCTCTCTGCCTCTCTGAGGCCTGCCTGATCCTTTGCTAGATCTGTGTATTGCAACTCGTTGTTTAACCTCCCGCTGCAGCTGTGGGATGAGTTCTTTGTGTGACTCTCGCCTATCCCCGCCACATACACCTCTCCCCACGGCAGAATGTTAGGGATCATAGAATATCAGGGCTGGAAGGGATCTCAGGAGGTCATCTAGTCCAACCCCCTGCTCAAAGCAGGACCAATCCCCAACTAAATCATCACAGCCAGGGCTCTAAGAAAGGAGATTCCACCACCACCCTAGGTAACCCATTCCAGTGCTTCTCCATCCTCCTAGTGAAAAAGTTTTTCCTAATATCCAACCTAAACTTCCCCCACTGAGACCATTACTCCTTGTTCTGTCATCAGCTACCACTGAGAACAGTCTAGATCCATCCTCTTTGGAACCCCCCTTCAGGTAGTTGAAAGCAGCTATCAAATCCCCCCTCACTCTTCTCTTCTGCAGACTAAATAATCCCAGTTCCCTCAGCCCCTCCTTGTAAATCATGTGTTCCAGACCCCTAATCATTTTTGTTGCCCTCCGCTGGACTCTTCTCAATTTTTCCTCATCCTTCTTGTACTGTGAGGCCCAAATCTGGACACAGTACTCCAGATGAGGCCTCACCAATACCAAATAGAGGGGAATGATCACATCCCTCGATCTGTTGGCAATGCCCCTACTTATATAGCCCAAAATGCCGTTAGCCTCCTTGGCAACAAGAGCACACTGTTGACTCCTATCCAGCTTCTCCTCCACTGTAACCCCCAGGTCCTTTTCTGCAGAACTGCTGCCGAGCCACTCGGTCCCTAGTCTGTAGCGGTGCATGGGATTCTTCCGTCTTAAGTGCAGGACTCTGCACTTGTCCTTGTTGAACCTCATCAGATTTCTTTTGGCCCAATCCTTTAATTTGTTTAGGTCCCTCTGTATCCTATTCCTACCCTCCAGCGTATCTACCACTCCTCCCAGTTTAGTGTCATCTGCAAACTTGCTGAGGGTGCAATCCACACCATCTTCCAGATCATTAATGAAGATATTGAATAAAACCGGCCCCAGGACCAACCCTTGGGGTACTCTGCTTGATACCGGCTGCCAACTAGACATGGAGGATTGATTTAGTTGGGGATTTGGTCCTGCTTTGAGCAAGGGGTTGGACTAGATGACCTCCTGAGGTCCCTTCCAACCCTGTTATTCTATGGAGCCATTGATCACTACCCGTTGAGCCCGACAATCTAGCCAGCTTTCTATCCACCTTATAGTCCATTCATCCAGCCTATACTTCTTTAACTTGCTGGCAAAAATACTGTGGGATATATCTCTGGCCCTGAGCACATGTTGTGGGGACATTCCCAAGGTAAAAGGGCCAGGTTGAATGGCCCATAACCCCAGCTGGCCTTGGCTCGCAGCCAGCAGATTATTTCAGAGGCATTAACTGGGACAGGATTGGTGGCTCGGGCAATGGGAAGCAGAAGCCGGGAGTGTCTGGGGCTGGCAGAATGGTTATTTACTGAGTGCCAGGGGTGCTTTACACACAAGCCCGCAGTCTAGTTAGATGCAGGCCAGCGGGGGATGGCAAACTAAGATGGGGGGGTTCTCCAGCTAAGGAAGGAGCATGTGCATGGTGTGCTTTGGGATGAACATGCCCTGGTGGGAGGTTTTGTTTAGAAAAGACAATGTGCTACAATGGGTGACACTGCCCTGTACTGGAGACTGGTCAGCTGTGTGCCGTAGGCCTGATACTGCTCCTACCTGACGGTGCTTTTCCAGGAGCAGGAAGGGGGCTGTTTGGAGCATGAGTATCCGAGTTTGGTCTGCTGGAAAGGCCTGGGTAGATGTGGGGTGAAGCACAACAGTGGCTGAGAAATCCCTGGTGGCTTGGGATTGATGCCAGAATCATAGAAATGTCAGGCTGGAAGGGACCTGAGAGGCCAGCTAGTCCATTCCCCTGTGCTGAGGCAGGGCCGTTAAACTTCGCTCGGAGGAGCAAAGGCCACCAGGAGGCAGAGTCTGGCTGGGGACAGTTAGGCGCTGGCCAGAAGAGGGAGTTCAAGGGGGAGACGCTGATTCCCTGGTGGGTGGAGGCCTCGGTGGGTCAGTGTAGCGGGAGGGGGTTCTCCTGATCTGGGAAGGGAGATGGGCCTTTCCCCTGTACAGCTGGACTTCGGAGCAGGCCTGAGGCTCAGGAGCACAGAGCAGCTGAGGAGGGACTTCTGCTGGCGGGAACCTGCTTCCCAGTTCATGGGCTCAGCCTGTGAGGGTCTCTAAAGCCTGTGTCAGACCCCAGCAGTGCCCTGGGTGTGAATGGGATTGGCCCCTCCCCGCTGCTGAGCGCAGGGTGGGCCAGAGAGACTTGGGGATGGGGAATCAAGCAGGGGTTTAACCCCCGATTGCTGGGGCACTTCAGCTCTCCCATCTGGGTGCACAAGGAGAAGTGGGAACCCCTGGTGCCTGCTCCGTCCCTGAGGCTGAGCAGGGGAGCCTCTCCCCGCACACCCCTGGTTGCCGCAGTGGGATGGAGAGCAGCCTGGGATCCCATTGCCCCGTCCCAGCTCCTTCCCAGCAGTCTCTGCCAGTCAACCTGTGAGGCACTTTGGTCTCCCCTCTCCTGTTCTCACGGTCTCTCCCGAGCTCTCTGCCTGGAGCTGGGGATGCTGGATGCTTGGGGGGGCTGCCAGCCATCTCCGGGCCTGGGCTGTCCCCTGGTGGCCATGGACAGGGCTCTCTGGTGAGGCAGGCTGGGATAAAGCAGGCGGAAGTAAGGCGCGTCTGTCTTGGCCCATAAGGTAGCCTCCCTGGGCCAAATCCATCCCTGGTGGAAGGCCATCCATCCCCATGACACCAGTGCCCCTGATGGGCTCAGCCCTGAGCTCGCCAAGGGTCTTGAGGCTCTGGAGACCTCCTACCTCAGTCAGGGGTTTGGCTCCAGACGTGGTTACGTGAGAGGATTTGCACTGACTGGCTTACAGTAGGGCGCAATGAATGCTTAACAGGTGAGACTGCCCATCTGTCCTGATCCTCCTCCGGTGCCCCTGAATGCCAGGCCCTTTGTGACAGATTTCAGGGGCATTGCCAGCGAAGGCTACCGTGAGAATGGGATGGGCTCTGGACTCAAGTGCCAGGGTGCTCCCAGCCCAGCCCACGGCCTTAGTCACTGCAAAACCCCCAAAGCCAGAGCCTCCCTGCTGCTTTTTTATGATTCAGCAAAGCGGGGCTGCACCCAGAGAGCTCTGCAGCTGGACAGCGCAATCCAGGTCGGGGCTGAGGGGAAGTGCCTGCACCGAGTCCCTTCCAGCGGGAAAGGATAATCCAGCTCTGGTACTTATATCCCCCCACCTTGATTCCCATCAGACTCCAGTGCACTCGGCCTTGGTCATGCCTCACTTGGGGCAGCCACATGGAAATCCTGCCCTGGACTCCGATGTCCCAACAGCAATGGACTGTGGCTGCAGCACTTTCCCCTGGGCGCCTGGCTCAGGTGCATGTTCTGCCCCACGGCTTGCAGCCGTGCTGCCAGGCTGGTGCCCAGGTTCAAGGGGCTGCGCTGTGGTTCAGTGAAGATGCTCAGATGGTGTCAGATGGTGTCACCTTCCAGTGACAAAGCTTTTCTCTCCCTGCAGGGGCCACAAGAGACATTGGCTCGGCACTGACCCGGATGTGTATGCGGCACCGCAGCATCGAGGCCAAGCTGAGGCAGTTCACCAAGTAAGTCTGATGGACACCAGTGACATGAGTTTGCCAGCCTCAGCCTCCCCGCCCTAAGGATGAAGGAAGTGGCAATAAGTTTCTTCACACTGTGCCAGGCACCCACACAGCTTTGTCCCTCCCAGGACCAGATCCAGGGAGGTGCTGAGCCCCCAGTGCAGTCCTTGGGTGCAGCTGGGAGCGCCGCATTTCTGAGGTGACTTAGCCCACATCTATAAACGTATTTAGGGGTTGCCCTGCTCAGTACTGCAAGGCTAACGCCCGGGTCTGCAAAGGTATTTTAGCCACCTCATTCCCACCGGCCTCTTTAACCGGGCTCCCTCTGGCCTCTTCTTGGTGCAGTGCCCTGATGGAGAGTCTCGTCAACCCCCTGCAGGACAGGATTGAGGATTGGAAGAAAACAGCCAACCAACTGGATAAGGACCATGCGAAAGGTAAAGCCCAGGTGACAGGCAGGGGGGATTTGCTATTCTCAGGGGAAATGCACTGTGCCCAGGGGGAAAGGGGGCATGCCATGTCAACAGGGGGGGATGCACTGTGCCCGGGGCAGGGAGCGGGGACACACCGTATCCACTGGGGGGGTGCACAGTGCTGGGCTGGGGGTGCCATATCCACCAGGGGACCCTGTCCCTAGGAGATGAGGGAGAACACGCGGTACCTGAGAGAGCGGAGGGGGCAGGATAGCCCTGAGCAGGAAAGGGGGGATGCCTGTTAGGGATGTAAAAGGTTAACCAGTTAACTGGTAAGAATTCCTCTTACCGGTTAACCCACCTTAACCGTTAACCCTGGGCTGGCCAGCCCGCCAACCCCAGCAGCCGTGCGCCACCCGGGGCGGGCCCAGCTGTGCCAAGCTGCCCCATGCTGGAACACCCTCAGCCGCGCTGGCCTGGGGAGATCAGCTCCAGCTCCACCGGCTGCCAGGATTGGCCCCAGCCATTTAATCAGTTAGCCATTTAAAGGACCTATTTTTAATCGTTTAAACGGTTAACTTTTTAAACAGTATTTACATCTCTAATGCCAGTACCCGGGGGAGGAGCATGCCATCCCGGGGGAGGGGCTCACTGTGTATCTGAGGGGGACGGGTGAGGGGAGGAAGCTGCAGTAACAAGTGGGGGGGAATGTCCTGTGCTCATGGAGGTGGGGGCCGGGGGGCAACATGTCATACCCTCCAGTGAGCATAGTGCCTCCCTGCGCAAGGCCGGCCGTGGGAGGGGAGACAGACTGTACTCTGGGAGGAGAGGGACATGGGGGGGACTATGCCATAACGGGGGGAGGGGCTCGAGGTGGGGACCGTATAGCAACAGGGTGAGGGGGGACCACGTACGCCTGGGAGAGGCGGGTTAGGGGGAGCGTCCTGGGTCAGGGTAGGAGGAATCGTGCGCCAGCTGGGTGGAGGGGGCTGGTGTCCCCTCCTGGAGGCCATGACACGTCTCATGGTCTGTTCCATGTCCTCAGAGTACAAGCGAGCCCGCCATGAGATAAAGAAGAAATCCTCTGATACGCTGAAGCTGCAGAAGAAGGCCCGCAAAGGTAAGAGCCCTGCCTGACCCTGCAGTGCCCACGCCAGGGAGGGCAGCCTGCCCCTCCATGAGCTATGGGCCTGCCCCCTTGTGGGGGGTCTCACCTGCTTTCACACCCAAGCAAGGCTGGGCTGGGTCAGGTGTGGCTGGAGAGGCCCTGGTGCCCCTTGGCTCTAGGGATCACTGTGCTGCCTTCGACTTGAGACCTTCCCTGAGGCCGGGGACTCTGATAGGGGGGAAGTAGTCGGGGCCCCAGTTCACGGTCTCTCCTCCAAGGCAGGACAGAGACCCCAGTGCCACCTGGGCATCCTGGCTCGGGGTTGAGCGTACAAGCGAGCTCCTCGTCCTGCTAACCATGTTCCAGCTCAGACTGTGACACCTGCCTCCCTCTGTTCCCTCTGCAGCTTGAACTCTTCCCCCTCCTGCCCCAAGGGTTACGGTATGTGTGCTGTGAAGCAGCCAGTCTGCTCCACCCCAGAGTTGGCTGCATTCTGTTGTAGCTCACAGAGCAGTGGGGAGGTTTAACTAACAAATGCTGTCGCCATTAGCCATGCTGGGGCAGAGGGTAGCAGAGCAGCCTAGTTCTTCACCTCTAGGTGTTGGGAAGGTGGCTTTGATGCTGACAACGGGGATCCACCTTGGGGGGTTTGTGGGGCTCAGCGACAAGGTTCAGTGGGTGAACAAGCCTGCTGCATTCACCGCGCCCTGTGGCCGTGACCCCTGAACAATCTCTGCCCCGGACCCCATCAGAGGAACCCTGCTGTGGAGATGGCACTGGGGAGCAGCTGAAAAGGAAATAGGATGCTGTTCTTGTGCCAAATCCGTGCTGGGGGGGTTCCAGGAGGGCCGGAAAGGGCAGGGAGTGAAGGCGGCTCCGGCACTGGGGAGTCCCAGCCGGGCGCTCGCAGGGCACTGCATGAGGATGTTGTCCAAAGAATTTTGCTGGGCTTGACAGAGCATTGCTCAGCACAGGGCTCCGTAGCAGCTCGGGGGTAGGCAGGCTCTTCGGAAACCGACCCCCAGCTGGGGCCTGTGGTGCTACTTCAATGATGAGAACAAACAGAGCCCTTAAAATGCTCTTTCCAGAGGCTCCCTGCAGGGAAAGATGGCCCAATTCGCTCCCTGCGGGGAACCCTCCCTTTGTCTGGTTTCCCTTATCCCCAGATCCCACAGTCCAGCCACTCCCCCCAGCTCCCTTCAGTTCCTTGCTCCAACCCAATACCCAAGGAGTTAACCCCCTCCCGCAGGGTAGGATGGGAGCGTGCAGGGGGCCCACACGTGTCTGAGCCGTGTCTGGGAGCAGCCCCCAGGGTGAGTCAGGGCCTAGGGAAGAGGGTGACTGACCTGCCGTCCCGAGGGGCGGGGGGGGAGAGGGGGGCGGAGGGTCCATACATCAGCCTGTCTTTCACACACTCTCTCTCTGTCTCTCTCTCTCCTCTTTCCTCCCTTCCACATCCTTCCTGTAGAGCTACTTGGTAAGTCAATCGCTGTCGAGCCAGCCCCATCCCGCTCCCCACAGCCCTCCCCTGTGACCTGTGCTTCATTTATCTCTGTCTCCCCTCTGGCTGAGCTCAAAATGAAACGAACCCGAGTCAGACTGCCCTGGCCCGGGCGGCTGCCACACCCGGCAAGGGACCATCCCAGGCCTTCCCTGCCTGCCTCTCTGGGCCGGTGCCCCCTCTCTGTGGGGTGGGCATGGAGCTCCAGGCCAGGCTAGCTTCGCCCCAGTGGGGCCTCCATCTATGGGTGGCTGTAGCAAGGCACAGCAGGCTGCTTTGACACGTGCCGTGCGCTCGCTCCAGAGCCCGGTCCAGGGGTGGCCCAGGCATTCAGCTCTGGTTCCCGGGCTGTGGGTTGGCCCCTTCCTTCATGTGGCACCTCCGCCGTGCTGAGCTCCTTCTGCCTCCCATGGGCTGTCTGCTGCAATGGTGCTGTGATTGGGTTCCAGGGGAGAGCTGGGGGGTCTTGGGGAATCCCCATCTCCACATCCAGCCGCGCCACCCCCAAAGGCTGTGAGGAGGGAGTGCCCTGCTCGTGTGCAGGCAAGGAACAACACCCACAGATAGCGAGGTCCCCCTCATGCCCCAGCCTCTGGAGTCCTGCCCCCTGTGCTGGCTACAGCCCCATCCACACGTACGTCCCTCTGACAGGTGATCAGGCCTAACCTCCCTGTGGCGCATTGGAAACGTGGAGGACATGGCAGCCCCTCTAGGGGGTCAGAGCCCCCATCTACACCCAGCAAGCCTGGGTTTCATTTCAAGCCCTCCTGCCCTGGCTTTCTCCTCCTCTCTCTCTCTCTCTCTCTGCCCTGTTCCTCCAGGGTTTGCATGCTGTAAGCCATGTGGTGAATGCTGAGATCTCCCTGCCGGAGGCCCGGCTCCCTCCTGGAGAGCAACATGGATTTCCAGCCCCAGTTGGGCCTGGGGGAAGCTATTTCCCCTTGTCCTGCACTCCAGCTCTCATCTGGCTCTCTCCCTGGTGCCTGCTGCCACTAGCAGGGTCTCTGATTGCAGCCTCTTCCCACCCTCGCTGGGCTTTTGATGTCAAGGAGGCAGGAGTTTTCACACGAGTAATCCTTCCAGTGACACCTGACCTGTATTGCTTGTACCAGCCAGACTGGCTTGTGAGTCCCTCCCACTGGCCTGGAAAAACAGGATGTCTCTAAACCGTTGTTTTATCAGATAACGCCTAACCCTCCCAGCCAGGGGCCTGTTCTGGGGATCCCCACTACAACAGCCCAGACTGGCTCTTCACTCCGGCCATTGTGTCCACGTTCCTGGGAAGTGGGTCGGGTCCACGCCGCACATCTTCCAATCTGGATTTGCTCACCCTGGTGGCTTGGCTCTGGGACTGGGGGCTGGCCAGATGGGAAATTCAGACTGGGATCCAGGTCCAGATTCCAGACTGCCACGGACTTGGCCAGGGGCTGATTCAGACTTGTCTCTCCTGTGCCAAGGCAGGCCCTCTCTGGCACTCTGCCTACCTGCCTGGTCCTCCCCTTTGTGCGGCGCCGGCTCAGCACTCGCCCACCACAAGTTTGGGTGTCTCCACCTCCTGGCCTGATTAGCCTCTTGACTGTTTCATCTGGGGAACTCCTCGTGTCGCCATCTTTCTCCTCCGTTCCCCTGGTCTTTCCACCTGCCGAGCCTCTCAGTCGTCCGGCTTTACCTTCTGTGCATGGGAATCACTGGGCAGGGAGGGGGGGCTTTGTTGGGACTCCATGGAGTTCATGTCCTCATGTCCCCAACACTGGGGGAACCCACCCACATCCAGTGGTCAGCCTGGTGTGCTTGAATCAAGCACTTCGAGCGCTGCATGCTGGGATTGGTCATCTCCAGAGTGAAGCTGGGGCAGATGCCATCTGCTCTGTTTCATGCAGGTGGCTCTGTGGCCCCTGAGCAGGGCAGTTGGGGGCCCTGCCAACCTAAAGCGCTCATTCCTCGGCTCCTCTTTGCTTTGCTTGCTCTGTCCGTGCATGTGTGTTTCATCTTCCCACCCTGGACTAACACCTGGGCACTCCTGCGCCCACTGCATGGGTCACATTCTGCCTCCATTGGACGAACCGATTCACCCAAACCTCTCAGCTCTCCGTATTCTGCTGGCTTGTGCCTTCCTCCAGCCACAAGAGGAGCAAATTCCTCCCTGGTGCAACTCCAGGGCTTCGGTGGGGCTGCCCCAAGGATGAATTTAGACCCATGTTGTTAAATGTAATGTTGAGGGGGATGGGGCGGGGTGGATCCAGCAAGGGAAACTTCTGCAAGGTGAGTGTGAAACGGACATGGACTGGGGAGGCGGGGGTGGGACAGGGAGGAGGAGGGTAGTTGATCCATTTGCAGAGCCAGTGTGCGGGTTATGACACTGGTCCGGTTGCTCTGTCCAGCTGGACAAAGCAGGGCTCTGCACCTGCCATCCTGAAGCAAAACCCCTGGGTTGGTTGGGTAGGGCTGGAGCCTGAAATGGGGGTCAGACCACCCAGGAGAGGATGGGGCTTTCTGCCACATGACCCAGCCTCTGGATCAGTTCGACCGACCCCTGCCGGGGCCCACGCAGAGAGAGGTTCAGAGCGCTGAGCTGGTGAAGGCAAGGCTGGGGTCACGCTGCAGCTGGGATACTAGTCAGCTGGTGCCTCAGCTGTGGAGTCCGCAACAGAAAGAAGCTAGTGGAGAGGCCAATGGAGACTGGAGATCTCTGAACCCAGCAGATGGAGAGAGCACCTTTCCGTGTCCTGCAGTTCTTTTATAGCCCTGTCGCTAGGAACAGGCTAAGCCATGTCCTTCCCTGGGGCAGCTCCACTGACCGGCCAGATGACACATGGCCCATTGTGTCTGTCATGGTGGATGATTAGCCCAGGAGCTAATCCTCAGCCTTGCTTCTCTGTCCTCGTGGTTTGGGCAGAAGGCCTCCTCCACAGGCCTCGGGAAGAACTCCAGGGCTGTATTGCCGCGTGGAGATCCTGAGCAAAGCCAGCCACTGGCTTTTTTCTGTGTTGATTCCCCCTTACGTGGACTGACGTGCATCCCTCAGTGAGCTCAGAGCATCCCAGCAGAGGGAGATTCTTACAGCACCCTATGTCTCAGGAGAGCCCTTGACATGCTGGCAGGAGGCTTGTTGGAGTTACATTACTTTCCCACAAGTGACCTGGCATTGGGTGTTCAGCGGTTTAGAGCCTATGGCCTGGGATTGCAGCAGGGGAGCTCGTGCTGCAGTTCGTAGGCTGTAGTTGTCCACGGTTCGGTAGCAGTAGTCCTAAACACTCTGTGAGATGCTGTGCTGGTGGCTGCTCATGTGAAATTCTGCAGTGTCTTGTCCAAGGACTGACATCCCCCACTGCCTGCCTCAGTTTCACAGCAGCAGAGCATGGAAGAGGGAAGATCTCTGGAAGGCAGCAGGTTCGGGACCGGTGAGTGGAGAGTGGATGATGTCTCTGTGTCCTTGTCTCCTTTCAGGGAAGGGGGACCTACAGCCCCAGCTGGACAGTGCTCTCCAAGACGTCAATGACATGTACCTCCTTCTGGAAGAGACTGAGAAGCAGGCTGTCCGCAAGGCCCTCATTGAGGAGAGGGGCCGCTTCTGCACTTTCATCACCTTCTTGCAGCCAGTGGTGGTAAGTGCTGCTGCCCCAGGCCCTTCTGAGGAGAGGTGTGTTAGAGCCCAGCGGGCTGGTTTTCAAACCCACCAGCCAAGCAAGCCAGAAGCCAACCAGCTCCTGCTCTGGATCTCCCAACAGCCGCTTCCCCACTGCCTCCAACCATCTGCCCAGCAACAAACCCTCTCACAAGCGTGGAGGAACCTGCAGTCTCATCCTAGAGATTCGAGGAGGCAGGCTTCTGTGTCTCTAAGGTATCCCTCCCAACAGGACGTGGTGCCACTCAGGTTTGGCTCGTCCTGCCCTCCGTAGAGGGAGACAGAGAGGCAGCCAAGCCAGACCCTCTTCACCGCTCAGTTTAGGGGTGCCCCTCAAATGGGGGTCTCAGGAAAAACTGCTTTCAACCAGGACAGGGTCTTTGGGGGTCAAAGTGGGAGAGTCCCGTGAAAGCTGGGACAGTTGGGAGGTGAGCGCTACGGTCAGGGTGACCAGCTAGCATGTGTGAAAAATTGGGACGGGGTGGGGGGCATTAAAGATGCTAGGAGATGTTTCCCAAGAGCAGGGAAGTTAGTCCGTGTCCTGGCCCCTTCCAGCGGCCTTTCTCAGAGTCCCAGGAGCAGCTCATTGCAGTGGCTGATACCGATCAGTTTCCTTGTCCCATGTCATGGATTAGAACAGACAGTACCTTCTGGCTGCCTTGGATGTATGGTGATTGATGGATAGAACTCTGTCCCCAGCTGCAGGGCTCTGAGGTGAAATTCCAAGGAGGTGAATGCTGGAGGGATTGACATTAGCACCTCCCCGAGGTGAAGGTCACAGGGAACCAGGTTGCGGATCTCCTGGAGCTGTGCTGCCAGGGAGATTCTGGTGGCGGGAGAAAGGACAGTTGCTCCATGGAATGGCTGGGAATTTGCCAATCACAGCCCTTGATGGTCCTGCTTCTTCCCCAGGAGGCTAGCCAGTCCCACTTCACTCAGGGGATGGTGCAGTGGCAGCTTCCAGTTACACTTCCAGAGCCAGATCCTCCACTGATGTAAATCAACATCCCTCCCTTGGCTTTGCGGAGTGGGGCTGGGATCTGGATTCTCTTTACTTCGCTGGGGTTGTGCCAAGTACGGGCTGATGAGCTACTCTGGCTGCCCCACCCCTCTGATGCTGACATGGCTTCAGGCAGGGTCTTGTAGGCGTTCTGCTGGGGGGCTGGCAGAACAGTCAGGGCCAGCCGGCTGGCAGGCAGAGCGAGTTTCACACGCCGCGTAAGACACTGCTGACTTGGAGGAAGCCAAGCAGGGCAGTAAGGGAAGGGGAAAGCCCTGGTTCCCACGGCACCAACTGCTGATGCTTCCTCCTCCTGCCGCTCAGACTGGCGAGATCACCATGCTGGGAGAGATCACTCACCTGCAGGGCATCATGGAGGACCTGGTGGTGCTGACTGCAGAGCCGCACAAGCTGCCCCCTGCCAGCGAGCAGGTGAGGAGCACAAGGACTGGTTGTGAAGGGGGAGGGAGGGAGTGCAAGAGGGGGATGGGAATGTTCGGGAGGGGGAATATTTCTGGGAGGAGAGACAGCAGCATGTGTCCACTGGCAGCAGAGAGCAGCTGGCCCCTACAGCGCTAACCCAGATGTCCATCAAGGTGTGACGAAGTGGGACTGTTCTTAATGTTTCCTCTGAATATTGTGGGGGTGCCTCAGTTTCCCCTAGGCAGTTCTTAAGTATCTAGGTTGTGGGATAAGGGTGTATGATCGTTGCAGAGCCCTAGAGGGCAGGTGTGTGCAGGGGTCTGGACACAGAGAACGGCCGATACTGTTTCCTGGCAACTGATGGTCTGAGCCCTTCCCCCCTGCAAGGTGAGAGCTAAAGGGTTGGAGAACAAAGGAATCAGGTGCCCACCTGGCCCAGGAAAGGGACAAAGCCCAGAGCAGGGTGGGGGGCTGGAGAGAGTTTCAGTTTGGGGCTGGCTGGGGGCCTGGAGTGAAGTGCAGACGGGGTTGTCTGGCTCACTGCCCCCCAAAATGGACCCAGCTGAGGGGTCCTGTTCTCTGCACCTACAAGCTCTGTGTTAGACCGTGTTCCTGACATCTAATAAACCTTCTGTTTTACTGGCTGACTGAGAGTCACGTCTGACTGCAGAGTTGGGGTGCAGGACCCTCTGGCTTCCCCAGGACCCCGCCTGGGCGGACTCGCTGTGGGAAGCGCACGGAGGGGCAGAGGATGCTGAATGCTCCGAGGTCAGACCCAGGAAGGTGGAAGTTGTGTGAGCTGTGTCCCCTGGAGACAGTCTGCTCCCAGAAAGGAGACTTCCTCAGAGTCCTGCCTGGCTTCGTAGGGAGCAGTTCCAGAGCATTGCCCAAGGACTCCGTGACACGAGAGTCTTGCTGGAGGGAGGGAGAGAGGGAGGGGAGGGGAATGGAAGCACTTAGTTATAAATGAGCAGTTTCGTCGATTTGGAGATGCCAAGGCGAGAAGGGATCATTGCAATCACCTAGCCTGACCTCCTGCATGGAAGGGGCCAGAGGCCGGCCCCACAATCATTCCCAGAGTGGAGCTTTGAGAGAAACAGCCCATCTGGACCGACAAGTGGCCAGTGATGGAGAATCCACGAGACCCTTGGGAAGTTGTTCCCGTGACTAATTACCCTCCCTATGAGACCTTTAATGCCATATTTCCAGGCTCAGTTTGGATTGTGTCAGCCATTGGATTGTGTGAGTCCTTTTCCTGCTAGACGAAGAGCCCACTATTCCATATTTATTCCTCATGGAGGTACTTACAGACGGTGAGCAAGTCACCCCTTCTCCTGCTCTTTGATAAGCTACATTGCTAACATGGCCTGGCTCCTTCCTCCTGCAGGTGATCAAAGACCTGAAAGGCTCTGACTACAGCTGGTCCTATCAGACTCCTCCATCCTCCCCCAGCAGTTCTGGCTCCCGCAAGTCCAGCATGTGCAGGTAAGTACAGACTGTAGTAGGGGACTTCACAAACATACTCAGGATGGGGGTGAAGGAGTTTCTGCTTTAATACTCACAATCTCATTGTGTAAGTGCTTGAGTGCTCAGCTGATAACGCCAAATACCTGGCCTGAGCTCAGGTCCTCAGGCACAGGGAGAAGAATGCATGGTGAAATGTCGCCAAGACCCTGTGTGGATCAGATGCTAATTGATCATTAAAGCATTGCACTGAGGGTTAGCATAGATCAGTATCTGTGGCATGGGGCTTAATCCTCCATCAGATGAACTCCTTTTCACAATCAGTGCTTTTCATGCCCAGACCATGCCTGTGTAACCCCAGAGGAGATGCTTAGGTGAGAATCTTAATACTCAGTAATACTTAATATGAAGGGCCCTTGGTGGAGGGAGGATTTGTGGAACACATGGGGTCAAAGAATGGTTACAAAGTTAATTGAACTGTCTGTCTCTTCTCTCCCTCCTGGAGTATGTGATTGGACCTGACTCACTTACACACCTGAAAAGTCCCTAGGCTTGGAGCCTTTATCAGAAGTATAAGGTCAGGCCCCATGTATTCCACCATTCTGTGGGCTAGGAATTTCCCTGGAATTCACCCTTTGCCACCAAATTGGGATCCAGAATCTCAGCTTTCTTAAAAATGAATATGTTTCTAGCCCTGGTGGTTGCAAAGAAAAGCTTGAAAACATTCAAAAGATTGTCAAACAATCTTTAAAAAAAGGGAAGAAGGAGGATCCTGGGAACTACAGGCCAGTGAGCCTCGCTTCAGTCCCTGGAAAAATCATGGAGCAGGTCCTCAAAGAATCAATCCTGAAGCACTTACATGAGAGGAAAGTGATCAGGAACAGTCAGCATGGATTCACCAAGGGAAGGTCATGCCTGACTAATCTAATCGCCTTCTATGATGAGATTACTGGTTCTGTGGATGAAGGGAAAGCGGTGGATGTATTGTATCTTGACTTTAGCAAAGCTTTTGACACGGTCTCCCACAGTATTCTTGTCAGCAAGTTAAGGAAGTATGGGCTGGATGAATGCACTATAAGGTGGGTAGAAAGTTGGCTAGATTGTCGGGCTCAACGGGTAGTGATCAATGGCTCCATGTCTAGTTGGCAGCCGGTGTCAAGTGGAGTGCCCCAGGGGTCGGTCCTGGGGCCGGTTTTGTTCTATATCTTCATAAATGATCTGGAGGATGGTGTGGATTGCACTCTCAGCAAATTTGAGGATGATACTAAACTGGGAGGAGTGGTAGATGCGCTGGAGGGCAGGGATAGGATACAGAGGGACCTAGACAAATTGGAGGATTGGGCCAAAAGAAATCTGATGAGGTTCAATAAGGACAAGTGCAGGGTCCTGCACTTAGGACGGAAGAACCCAATGCACAGCTACAGACTAGGGACCGAATGGCTAGGCAGCAGTTCTGCGGAAAAGGACCTAGGGGTGACAGTGGACAAGAAGCTGGATATGAGTCAGCAGTGTGCCCTTGTTGCCAAGAAGGCCAATGGCATTTGGGGATGTATAAGTAGGGGCATAGCGAGCAGATCGAGGGATGTGATTGTCCCCCTCTATTCGACATTGGTGAGGCCTCATCTGGAGTACTGTGTCCAGTTTTGGGCCCCACACTACAAGAAGGATATGGATAAATTGGAGAGAGTCCAGCGAAGAGCAACAAAAATGATTAGGGGTCTGGAACACATGACTTATGAGGAGAGGCTGAGGGAACTGGGATTGTTTAGTCTGCAGAAGAGAAGAATGAGGGGGGATTTGATAGCTGCTTTCAACTACCTGAGAGGTAGTTCCAGAGAGGATGGTTCTAGACTATTCTCAGTGGTGGAAGAGGACAGGACAAGGAGTAATGGTCTCAAGTTGCAGTGGGGGAGGTTTAGGTTGGATATTAGGAAAAACTTTTTCACTAGGAGGGTGGTGAAACACTGGAATGCGTTGCCTAGGGAGGTGGTGGAATCTCCTTCCTTAGAAGTTTTTAAGGTCAGGCTTGACAAAGCCCTGGCTGGGATGATTTAATTGGGGATTGGTCCTGCTTCTGAGCAGGGGGTTGGACTAGATGACCTCCTGAGGTCCCTTCCAACCCTGATATTCTATGATTCTATGATTCTATGACCTGAGAGTCACCCATTCAGAGATGTTTGCTGACAGGCTGAAGCGATAGGTCTGCCAGGTATGAACCAGCCCCATCGTCTGGCCCTGGAACCTAAAGATGGGCACCTGTGCCACGGGGAAAATGAAAATATGGGTGCAGCCTACGATAAATAGAACTGAATTCCCAATCAGCCTGCCTAGGGCTCCTGGACACCCAATGTCTTACTTGTCTTAATACTGAACACAGTGAAAACCTGCATTTTAAAAATGTGTCTGAAACGGCTTCAGGATTTCCCCTGTGGCACTGCAGAATGTAGAGGGGCGAGTGTGTGAGGGGCCTGCCAGCGGTGATCCCTGATCCTGCAGCTTTTGGGGCCAGTGCTGGTCAATACTCAAGTCTTTAGAATCACGTACTGGAATGGAGCCAGGCTGGGTACATCACAGATGCACCAGCTGTCCCAGGCACCATCACACACTAAAGGAGTGCTCAAGGGTTGCTGAAGAGGAGATGAAGTCTCCTGGGTCCATAGCACCCCAGCCAGTTTGCACAGATACTTTGCGTGTGCTTTAAGAGCGTCTTCGGCCATGGGTGTGTCCCTCTTCCTCAGTTTCTCCATCAGTAAACACGGGGGTAACAATACCGACCCACCTTTTCATTCATAGATTCTAAGGCCAGAAGTGACCCTTGTGCTCACCTGGTCGGGCCTCCTTTAGAGCACAGTGCACAGAAGTTCCCCAAAATAATTCCTAGGGCAGATCTAGGCTCCCCCAGGAAGGTGCTGGGATCTAGGGAAGAACAGCTCCCCGACTGTTGTGGGTGCACGTCTGAACTGAACCTCTGGCCTTCCATAGCACCTCCCCTGCTGGCTCTTCCCCTTCGCCCTGGAATGTGCTTCGGGGTGGACAGGGCTAGAGAGGGGTCAGTGGGACAGGTGGGACCCACAGAATGAGTGTGTGCTGGAGGGTGCATGCTGCATGGGGGCAGAAACTGAGCCTGCCCCAGAGACAGAAATGCAGGAGTGCGCCCTCCTTTCCGTCCCTCCCCCTCCCTCCCACCCCCCTGGTCTGTAACTCTAGTCCTGTCGTGTATAAATCTGTGTGGCGGACCTTTGTCTGAAACTGTCTTTTCCTTCCTTTGCCCTCCTCGTAACCCCTCTCACCCTGATAACATGCATCTCTCTCCTGATTGCCACCCCTCCTCCCTCTTCCCACTCCCCTCTCATCCCTCCTCCCCGCCGTCCCCGCAGCAGTGTTAACAGTACAAAGGGTGGTACCGCTTGGTCCAGCGGGTCCCAAACATACTCACCAGGTTCCACCTATCGCTACCGCAGCCTGGCGCAGCCGGTTAATGCCAACACCCGCCTGTCCAGCGTCTCCTCCCACGACTCTGGCTTCATCTCCCAGGATGCCACGTACTCCAAGCCGCCTTCTCCGATGCCATCTGACATCACCAGTCAGGTAAGGGGGCCATGGGGCGATCGCTGAGCTGACGTGAGTGAATGCCCTCTGGATTCTACACACCCCTTTAAAAAGAAAGGGAAAGGCGCCACCTCAGTGATCCACATCAGATCACACGTGCTCATGCCTCCTGAGCGAAGCAGCGGGGTGTAGTGGGTAGAGAGCAGGGACCCAGAGATTCCTGGCTTCTAATCCTGCCTCTGCCACTGATTTGCCTGAGGTTCCCCATCTGTCAGAGAGGGGCAACATTCACCGACCGCCTTGTGGGGCACAGCGAGGGTTAATGCAGATGAGGTGGGGACATGGCTTTAATTCACATTGACCCAGTTCCCACAGCATGGCAGTGAATCCATATGGGATAACTGGGCAGATTTCTGCACGGTCTCTTCACCGCGGCGCCTCTCTTGTCAGCTGGCCCAACAAGCCATTTTGAAGCCCCAGCAGTAAGATTTAGGGGGGAAACCACTGCCACACAATCTCAGGGGCCTTGGGAGGGGAAATAGACAGAATCGAACTTGCATTATGATCAGAAAACGTGGCCCCTTCTTATTCCCTGCATGCCCCAGGCCGACCTGCTTACCTTAGTGACAGACCCGAGCCATTGGTATTGGACCTGCAGAGCCAGCCCAGCTCTGAGAGAGCGGCTGGGTTTCTGCACCATCCCCAGAACATCCCCCAGCCATGGGCAGATTGTACTGCTGGGGACACCGCCGAGCTGTGTCCCAGCCCAGGGTGACTCGGCAGGGCAGGGCAATAGGCCACTTGGTATGATTTTAAACTGACGTAGGTGCCCAGGGCTGTGTGGACGCCCTTGTTTTGGTTGGAACCAGGCTTATCTCTAGTTAGCAGAAGTCACCGAGAAACAAGTTTAAGTCTAACCTAAATAAACGGCCATTAAACCAGAGTGAGAGTGTACACACGGGTTTGCACTGGTTTAACTACCCCAGTGCAAATTTGGGCGTATGCAAGAAACGTCTTTTGACTGTTAAGATGAGCACTTTCTGTCTGCACCAGGGAGAGACGGGAAGCCTGGAGCCCTGGAATGGCATTTTCTGGAGAGTATCCACACTTCACCGTGACATGCACTGAAATATTCAGAGTGACCCATGCCACAGGCATCCTGCCTTTAGCATGGAACTGCAAAGGACTCGCAAAAGCCAGCAGCAGGGAGGGATGAGATGGCTTAGGCAACTGCCCTGCTGTGCCTTCAGGCTCCAGGCTCTCAGCATGGAATTCCAGTGGTGCACGGTATTCAGATACAGCATAGCTCCTGCTCTCTTCCCCACCCATCATCGGCTTCACACGGGGCTGCTGGCATCAGGAGCAGCCCCTGGGAAGCTGGGCTTGCCCTCCCCTCATTTTATTCGCCAGTAGTTACCCTCCCTCTAATTTTTCAAGTCTGACGTGTGAAAGCCAGAAGCCCTCAGTCTGTAGCACCGACCAGTTGGCCCTAGCGCTTGGATTGCTTGGGCATGGTAGGTCTGGAAAGGACTGCTAAGGGCAGTGCACGTTGTCAGCAGCACGAGGCCCGCATTGCAGAGCTGTCCCTGCACCCCATTTAGGGCAGCCAGGATTGGCGATGTGATGAGTTTCCACATGTGGCGGTGGCTGGCCCATTGGTTAGCTCGCTCTCTGGCTGCCCTGGCTGTGGCCGGGACATGGCTCCCGCAGGATGATCGGGACAGTGTGGGCAAAGGGCAAAGCGTCCGCAGGCTGCATGCACGACTCAGACGGCTGCTCACACCCCTGGCTCTGGCTCTAACCCTAACCCAGCTTGGTGCGGCTGAGTACATAACTGGGGAGGTAACGTGCAATGTGGATGCGCTAAGCCAATCTCACTAACCCTGTGCAGCTTTCCTGCTGGTGTGGCTGGGGGTTGGACGCCGGCTGAGTGAACAAGACAGGGTAATGTCCAGGAGCAGGGTCCACCCCGGGTTACTGTTGGGATAGGGGACCTGGCCTTCATCCTTTCCAGGAGTCTGCTCTCTGCCAAGGCATGGCCATTGCGCCAGGCGGTGCCATGGCTGGGGTGTGGCGTACTCAGCTGACCCTTGGGAATCCTAGGCCAGCCCAGAGGGAAGGCAGCTGAAGCTGGGGAGAGGGGCTGAATGGAGGGGTAGTGCACAGCACCCCACGCTCTATTTCTGTCCCCTGGGAGATGGGGCTGGGGGCCAGCCAGAGCAGGGTGTGGGGGCGGGCGGTCTGGAGTGGAAGCAGGGCTGCTCTGTCCCTCCTTCCCATGAGAAGGCAGCAGGAGAGAGACTCTCCTTCGGAGAGAGACTGCGGCCCCTGCACCGTGCACACCCTTCAGCCAATGCTGTGACTGTGTCATCATGCCGAGGTCTGGGGGTGAAGCAGCGACAGGGTACGGGGTGGTGCGTATGGTGTGTTGCCTGTGTGTGTCAGGGATGGGGAGTGTGTACAGGGAATGTGTGTGTGAGTATGCTGTGTGCTGGGGGAGTGCATGCAGCGTGTGCAAGGCATGTGTGTATCCGGTGTGGTATTCGATGGGTCAATGGGGGGGGTTGTGTTATATGTTTGTGTGGGGATGGCATGGGTGTGTCTGGATGGTACATGGAGGGTGTCCCTGTCTGAGAAGTGTATATGGAGTGCAGTTGGGTACGTGTGCAGGAGTGTATTTATGGTGTTTATATCTCTGTGTGTTGGGTGTGTGCCGTGGTGGGTGGGGGTTCATAAGCAGTGAGCACGTACATGTGTGCATCCACAGGGAGTGTGTGTGCGTGCGTGTGTACACGGGGAAGGAAAGTGTGTAGGTATACATACGTACAGGGAAGGAGGGCGTGTGTACGTGCGTACAGGAAAGAAGGGTGTGCGTGTGTGTACATATGTACAGGGAAGGAGGATTAATGTGTGTGTTGTGACGGAGTCAGACCAGAAGGCTATAAGAGAGTGGTGGAAGGCAGATATATCAGCCTCAGGGTGAGCAGGTCCCTGCTCCCTGGATAGCCAAACAAAGGCGACTCCAGGCCAATCCAGACACCTGACACCAATTAACCAATTAAGCTAATGGGGACAGGTGGAACCAATCGAGGTCTCACTCAGACTGCTTAAAAGCTCTCCTTTCCAGTTCCCTAGAGAGAGCCCAGGTGAAAGAAGCTGGAGGAGGAAGGATTGCTGTATCCTGAGGAAGGGATGAAGCTAGGAAGAGGGGACCACGGGGGAAGTGGCCCAGGGAATCAAAGCAGTGTTTAGTGGTGGAGGGAAACCCACCAACAGCTGCTATCCTTAAGGGCCCTGGGCTGGAACCCAGAGTAGAGGGTGGGCCCGGGTTCCCCCCGCCCCCATACTCTACAGAGATCCCCTTGAGAGGGGACGCAGGACTCGGTCCATTCAGGAGGGCGAACTGTGTCTACGGAGCAACACAGACTATGGGGTGTTTCCCCGTCCCATCTCCCATACTGGCCTGTGATGAGAGTAACCCAAGAGGCTGTGACTCTGGCCACTACGCTGTGAAAGGAAGGTCACATTGGGGCTTTAGTGAGTTTGAGGCCCCTGGATGTGCCAGGAAGCACGGGGCCCACAATTATAGGCTTGGAACTTTGTCACAGTATGTATGTGTAGTCAGGGAGTGCGTGTGTGTGTGTGTGCACAGGGAAGGAGGGTGTTTGTGTGTATATGTGTGCACAGGGAAGGAGGGTGTTTGTGTGCGTGTACACAGGGAAGGAACGTGTGTACGTACATACGTGCAGGGAAGGAGGGGGCGTGTGTGCAGGGAAGGAGGGGGCGTGTGCATGCCTGTAGGCTGTCTGTCTGCACCTAACATTCACTGGGGACTCCAGCTGCGTCTGCACTGCTGGCTGTGGGGCTGGCCCAGACGCTCCCGGGCTTGGGGAGCGCGTTTCTCTCCTCTCCTGCTGCATGCCTTTGGCTTTGTAACCAGGTTTCTTGTCTTCCTTCTCTGTGTGTTTGTTTGACGCTCCCGCTGACGGACTCTGGGCATGGCAGAAGTCCTCCAGTTCCGCATCCTCCGAGGCCTCGGAAACCTGCCAGTCAGTTAGTGAATGCAGCTCCCCCACCTCGGTTAGTTCTAGCTCTACCGCAGGGGCGTGCTCAGGCGGTGAAAAGGTGAAGCCTTCATCAGCAACGTCCCCCTCTCTGTCCATCTCTCTCGCTTCATTGGGGTTACGTTTCCCATGCAGATACCCCAGGGGCAGCACAGTGCATGGCACCTGGGGGCCTCTTGGGAGACGCACCCCTCCCATCCCATTAATCTCCCCCTCCTCCCCCTCCATCTCCACTCCTGGGCTGCCCTGGCTCTCGACTGGCTTTGTGCTTTGTCACGGGCTCTGAAGCCCTGGTGTGCGTCTGGCTTCCCTTCCCCCTGCCTGCCACGCTGCTCGGCTCCCAGGCTGCGGGGGGACATGGCACAGAAGTGAGTGCAGGGTTTTCTTCACCACCGGTTTCTTGCTGTGTTTCAGCTGAAACCTATGAATGTAGCTCATGTGGCCAGGACTGAAGGAAGCTCCCGAAGAAGCCTGAGCCTGGTGTGTATTTCCCAGCGTGTCTGTGGGCAAGGCCCTGTCAGAGGTCTGGAGATGGGAGACGTTGGGTCACGTCTCTCCTCCCCTCAGGGGGCTAGGGCAGGGCCCTCCCCCGCGGCTGCAGTAGACTCTCCGGTGCTTTGCGTAGGGAGGGGTGGCACTTTGCCCCTGGGCTGGAACTGGGCTGTGCTATGCTGCCCGCACTGAGCCCAGCTGGGGTGAGGCTGGCAGGCCAGGTGGTGGAGAAGCGGGACAGGTCCTTGCCGTGCCGGGGCAGCCCAGCACTACGTGACCTGCAGCCTAGAAGCTAGCCGGTGGGTCTAAAGCAAAGCAGGCTGCATGCAGCCATATTTCCAATGCTGCTGGGGCTATGCGGCTTCTGCGCTGGTGAGCCAGTAAGGGATGAGCAGAGCCACGGTAGGTGTTGATTATTGGCTTGACACACCGTGTCTGTCTCTCCCGCTTCCTGAGCGACCCCAGCGCTTGCCGAGCAGCCTGGAGCTCCAGGCCGACAAACCCGCTGCTTGGCCCACTGGCCTGGGGGCTTCACCCGCTGTGCTCCTTGGCTGCGACAGCAGAGTTGGCCACCCCACGGCTTCCCGTATGACAGGAAGCAGGGCTGCATTCGCCTTGGGTTGCCTCCCAGCCCTTACCCTGGGATCTCCAGCCCAGGCCCTGTCATTCGGCTGCTCAGCACCCCTGATGCCTGGGGGTCAGGCCATCCTCTCTGCACGTCTTCTTCCTCCGAGGAAAGCAGAGACGGGGGGCACCTGGGACTGCCCCGAAATGGGCCCAGCCTTGGCTTGAGTGTGATCCCAAGACGAGCGGAGTTGCAGGAGAGCCAGGCATTTTCCTGACTGCCAGGAGGCTGAATCAAAGGCTCTGTGGCACCAAGGAAGAAACACATAGAATGGGGGCTAGCACAAGGGACTGAGCAGACATGTGGGTCAGATGGGACACAGGAAAGGAATAGGGGTGAAGAATGCGAAAGATGGATAGAAATGTGCCCGGGAAGGAGATAGATGGGGCGGGGGGGAAGAAAACCAGGGAGGGGGATGGGTGGGGATTTGCAGGGAGGAGAATGGGTGGGGATAGGTGAGGAGGGAGATGGGCAAGGATGGGTAGGGAAGGAATGGGTGGAGTTGGTATCTTGTCCAGATGATGGTGTGATTGTGGCTGGAGGTTATTACTAGGCATTGGGCTGAATGGTCCAGGCTAGATCCCCCTTGGGACTCCCTGTACACACGCATGCCCACATGTGCACACCTACATACACAGACGCGTGCACACACATGGCCTTTGTACTCTACATGTGGCCACAGACAGAGGCTTTGGTTCACAAAGAAGCGAGAGCCTGGCATACCAGCCCATCCATCCAGGGTGGTGGCACGATGGTTCACACAGCCGCTGCCTCTGCTAATTTGCAGCCAGTCATTTCTGTGTTACCACCAGGACCCTTCCCTCCCTCCCACCCCCGCACTCTCCCCTCTATTTCTTTCCATGCTCACTAATCCTTTGCTACGTTCCTGTCCCCCTGAGGCCAAGCCCCCTGTCTTACCAGGCCTGCCTTGCCTTTTGCAGGATTGGTCCAAGGCCAGTCCTTACGACCAGCCGGTGGTCACCACCCTGCAGCGGAGGAAGGACCGCGTGGAGCATCTGCGGGAGGCCGAGATGGGCTCCGCCAGCATGGGGTACCCAGGAATTAACCTGGAGGACGTGCCCAGGCCCAGGATGTCCCCAGCTACCATCGCCGCCAAGGTACAGCTGTTAAGGAGCGAGGGGAGGGCAACGTGGGACCATGGAGACTGTTTGCAGCACTGAATGCTGGGTTCGAGCTCTGCTCCTGCGCAGTTCACTTCGTGGTTCTCTGGGAGTGCCTGGATGTCCCGATCCTGCCCTCCCGCCCTGGGGCTTGTTTGCTGCCCTCCCCCTCGCTGGGATGGCCGTGTGCTTACAAACCCATCTGTGTGCACAGACCTGCTGGCTGGGAATCGGTCCTGCCCCGTGCTGCTGATGAACCCAGCCCGACTTGCAATATTCATGTTAGTTGCTCCTGACTCCCAGTCATGCCCAGAGACCAGGGTGAGAGGAGCAAACTCCTCTGACTGGAAGCTAAGGCAGATTGTGATGGGTCCCTCTGGTTCTCCAACAGCATGGTGAGGAGGTGTCCCCTGCTGCCAGCGACCTGGCCATGGTGCTCACCCGTGGCCTGAGCCTCGAACACCAGAAGAGCAGCCGGGACTCCCTGCAGTACTCCAGTGGCTACAGCACCCAGACCACTACACCGTCCTGCTCAGAAGACACCATCCCGTCTCAAGGTAGCCTCCATGCAGCCGGGCTGGCAAGGGGGCTGGGTTTTCCAGGCCTTGGAGCGACGTGCTCAGCCAGGGCTGATGCCCAGGACTCACTGAGATCCACTGCTCGCATGGCAGGTCCTGCTGCAGGGATCTCAGGATGGAGCCACTGGATTCCTTCTGCCGAAGGGATCAAATGGGGCAGGATAAATCAGGAGCTGCTGTGGAGCTGCAGGATGGGGCCGAGCTGGGGGCTGGGAGGGAGCCGGGAGTTCCCATCATGCCGCAGGGAATTCTCTACATCCAGTTTTGCTATTTTAGATTCATAGAACTGTGGGGCTGGAAGGGACCTCGAGAGTGCGTCCGTGCGTCCCCCCTGCACGGAGGCAGGACTGGGCACACTGAGACCAGCCCGCAAAGGGGTTTGTCTCCTTGCTCTTAAAACCTCCAGAGGTGGGGTTTCCTTGGTGACCTTGGTACTGAATAAATAAAAAACGGTTCCTTGTCACAACCTGGAGGAGACAATGACGTCCGCTTTTTCAACCTCTGTTGCAAAATGTGGTTTTCCATTTGTCCACCAGCATGTGTTTGCATGATGGTTTGTGGTGCGGTGGGTGGGCTTTGGTCACGTTTGCACCCATGACTGTGGGGTGGAGTGTGGTGGCTATGTTGTAAGTGGTGTGTGTGTGTGTGTGTTTTGTATGAGTTTTGTGTTGCGTGTAATGTGATGGTGTGTGATGTTTGTGTGGTGTGTAGTCTGGTTGTTATGTTTGTGTTGTGTTATAGTATGTTGTGGTCGTGTGATGTGTATTTTGGATCATGCTGATTCTAGGTGCTAGCGTTTTGGCTGTGTGGTGTGGTTGAGTTGCTGGTGGTCGTTGTGTGTGGAATGGTTTTGTTGCTGGTGGTTCTGTGTATGTAATGCGGTTGTGGTTGTCTTGCTGGTTCATGTTTTGTGGTTGTGTTGTGCATGCTGTGGCTGATAGTTGTGTAGCTGGAGGTTGTGGTTTGTGTCATGCTGACACTGGTGATTGTGGTGCATGTATTATGGCTCTGGTTGTGTTGTGGCTGGTGTGGTTGTGGCATGTGTGTGGCATGCTGATACTATGTATTGATTGTGTTGTGTTCCTGGTGGTTGGGGGGGGGGGGGTCATGCTGATGCTGTGTTGATTGTGTTGCACATGTGGTTGTGGTGTTGGCGGTGTCGTTGTGGTGTGTGGGTGCCATGCTGATATGTGGTGGTGATTGTGTTGCATGTGTTGGTTGTGGTGATTGGGCCTGTGTCGCACTGACACTGCATGTTGATGGTGATTGTATTGCCTGTGTTGCGCTGACGCTGCGTGTTTATGACTGTGTTGCATTTGGTGGTGTCGCGCTGACGCTGCATGTTTTTGGTGATTGCATTGTATGTGTTGTGCTTGTGTGTTGCGCTGACGCTGTGTGTTGGGGATAGCGTTGGTTGTGGTTGTGGTGGTGGTGTTGGCGATTGCACGCGGTGGTTGCGGTGGTGGGGTGTCTGTCACACTGACGCTGTGTGGTGGTTGCGGTGGTGGTGCGGGTGTCGCGCTGACGCTGTGTGGTGTTGGCGACTGCGTTGCGTGTGGTGGTTGCGGTGGTGGTGGTGCGGGTGTCGCGCTGACGCTGTGTGGTGGTTGCGGTGGTGGTGGTGCGGGTGTCGCGCTGACGCTGTGTGGTGGTTGCGGTGGTGGTGGTGCGGGTGTTGCGCTGACGCTGTGTGGTGGTTGCGGTGGTGGTGCGGGTGTCGCGCTGACGCTGTGTGGTGGTTGCGGTGGTGGTGTGTGTGTTGCGCTGATGCTGTGTGGTGTTGGCGATTACGTTGCGCGTGGTGGTTGCGGTGGTGGTGCGGGTGTCGCGCTGACGCTGTGTGGTGGTGGTGCGGGTGTCGTGCTGACGCTGTGTGGTGGTTGCGGTGGTGGTGGTGCGGGTGTCGCGCTGACGCTGTGTGGTGTTGGCGACTGCGTTGCGCGCGGTGGTTGCGGTGGTGGTGGTGCGGGTGTCGCGCTGACGCTGTGTGGTGGTTGCGGTGGTGGTGGTTGCGGGTGTCGCGCTGACGCTGTGTGGTGGTCGCGGTGGTGGTGGTCGCGGGTGTCGCGCTGACGCTGTTTGGTGGTCGCGGGTGTCGCGCTGACGCTGTGTGGTGGTCGCGGTGGTGGTGGTGCGGGTGTCGCGCTGACGCTGTTTGGTGGTCGCGGTGGTGCGGGTGTCGCGCTGATGCTGTGTGGTGGTTGCGGTGGTGCGGGTGTCGCGCTGACGCTGTGTGGTGGTCGCGGTGGTGGTGGTGGGGTGTCGCGCTGATGCTGTTTGGTGGTCGCGGGTGTCGCGCTGACGCTGTGTGGTGGTCGCGGTGGTGCGGGTGTCGCGCTGACGCTGTGTGGTGGTCGCGGTGGTGGTGGTGCGGGTGTCGCGCTGACGCTGTTTGGTGGTTGCGGTGGTGCGGGTGTCGCGCTGACGCTGTGTGGTGGTGGGCGGTGGTGGTGGTGCGGGTGTCGCGCTGACGCTGTGTGGTGGTCGCGGTGGTGCGGGTGTCGCGCTGACGCTGTGTGGTGGTCGCGGTGGTGGTGGTGCGGGTGTCGCGCTGATGCTGTTTGGTGGTCGCGGGTGTCGCGCTGACGCTGTGTGGTGGTCGCGGTGGTGGTGGTGCGGGTGTCGCGCTGACGCTGTGTGGTGGTCGCGGTGGTGGTGGTGCGGGTGTCGCGCTGACGCTGTGTGGTGGTCGCGGTGGTGGTGGTGCGGGTGTCGCGCTGACGCTGTGTGGTGGTTGCGGTGGTGGTGGTGCGGGTGTCGCGCTGACGCTGTGTGGTGGTCGCGGGTGTCGCGCTGACGCTGTGTGGTGGTCGCGGGTGTCGCGCCGACGCTGTGTGGTGGTCGCGGTGGTGGTGGTGCGGGTGTCGCGCTGACGCTGTGTGGTGGTGCGGGTGTCGCGCTGACGCTGTGTGGTGGTGCGGGTGTCGCGCTGACGCTGTGTGGTGGTGCGGGTGTCGCGCTGACGCTGTGTGGTGGTCGCGGTGGTGGTGGTGCGGGGGTCGCGTGACGCTGTGTGGTGGTGCGGGTGTCGCGCTGATGCTGTGTGGTGGTTGCGGTGGTGGTGGTGCGGGTGTCGCGCTGACGCTGTGTGGTGGTGCGGGTGTCGCGCTGACGCTGTGTGGTGGTTGCGGTGGTGGTGTGTGTGTTGCGCTGATGCTGTGTGGTGTTGGCGATTACGTTGCGCGTGGTGGTTGCGGTGGTGGTGCGGGTGTCGCGCTGACGCTGTGTGGTGGTGGTGCGGGTGTCGTGCTGACGCTGTGTGGTGGTTGCGGTGGTGGTGGTGCGGGTGTCGCGCTGACGCTGTGTGGTGTTGGCGACTGCGTTGCGCGCGGTGGTTGCGGTGGTGGTGGTGCGGGTGTCGCGCTGATGCTGTGTGGTGGTTGTGGTGGTGTGTGTGTTGCGCTGACGCTGTGCGGTGGTTGCGGTGGTGGTGGTCGCGGGTGTCGCGCTGACGCTGTGTGGTGGTGGGGTGTGCGCTGACGTGTGTGGTGGTGGGGTGTGCGCTGAGCTGTGTGGTGGTCGCGGTGGTGGTGGTGGGGGTGCGCTGACGCTGTGTGGTGGTGCGGGTGTCGCGCTGATGCTGTGTGGTGGTTGCGGTGGTGGTGGTGCGGGTGTCGCGCTGACGCTGTGTGGTGGTGCGGGTGTCGCGCTGACGCTGTGTGGTGGTTGCGGTGGTGGTGTGTGTGTTGCGCTGATGCTGTGTGGTGTTGGCGATTACGTTGCGCGTGGTGGTTGCGGTGGTGGTGCGGGTGTCGCGCTGACGCTGTGTGGTGGTGGTGCGGGTGTCGTGCTGACGCTGTGTGGTGGTTGCGGTGGTGGTGGTGCGGGTGTCGCGCTGACGCTGTGTGGTGTTGGCGACTGCGTTGCGCGCGGTGGTTGCGGTGGTGGTGGTGTGTGTGTTGCGCTGACGCTGTGCGGTGGTTGCGGTGGTGGTGGTCGCGGGTGTCGCGCTGACGCTGTGTGGTGGTCGCGGGTGTCGCGCTGACGCTGTGTGGTGGTCGCTGTGTGGTGGTCGCGGGTGTCGCGCTGACGCTGTGTGGTGGTGGTGGTCGCGGGTGTCGCGCTGACGCTGTGTGGTGGTTGCGGGTGTCGCGCTGACGCTGTGTGGTGTTGACGACTGCGTTGCGCGCGGTGGTTGCGGTGGCTGACGCTGCGTGTTGCCCCCAGGCTCGGATTACGACTGCTACTCGGTGAACGGAGACGTGGAGTGCGACAGCCAGAGCGAGTTTGACAAATCCTCCACCATCCCGCGCAACAGCAACATCGCCCAGAACTACCGCCGCATGATCCAGACCAAGCGCCCCGCCTCCACTGCTGGGCTGCCCACCGGGACCCCCCTGCCGGCCAGTGCCCCCCCTGGCGTGGCCACCATCCGCCGCACGCCCTCCACCAAGCCCTCAGTGCGCCGCACCCTCTCCAACGCCGGGCCCATCCCCATCCGGCCCCCTATCGTCCCGGTAAAGACCCCCACGGTTCCAGACTCCCCTGGCTACACAGGGCCCACCCGGGTGGGCAGTGAAGAGTGTGTATTTTACGCCGACGACGCCTCGCCAAACGCCATGGACTTCGCCAAAGCCTCGCCCAAGAGGCTCAGCCTCCCCAACACAGCCTGGGGTAGCAACGCCATGGAGATCTCGGTGTACCCGGGCGCAGGGCAGCACCTCTCTGCGGAGGAAGAGGAGGACCAGCAGCTGGCCGCCAACCGGCACAGCCTGGTGGAGAAGATTGGCGAGCTGGTGGCCAGTGCCCGTGCCCTGGGTGAGGGCCAATTCCCCTTCCCCACCGCTCTCTCTGTCCCTGGCCCTGGAGTGGAGATGCCCACTCTGCCCCCAGCTGCCTCCAGCGACCCCCCTGCAGAAGACATGCTGGTAGCCATCCGGCGCGGGGTTCGCCTGCGCAGGACCATCACCAACGACAGATCCGCCCCACGGATATTGTGATGACACTCCCCCTACCCACCGCATCCCATGGGAAGAGAGCGAACACAGGGTCCGGACTGAGCACAGAAGAGAAATCAATCCAATAAAGAATCACTGAGGCAAAGCCACTTTATGGAGCTAGAGACGAGTTTAGATTTAAATGGAAATTTAAAAGTCTTCGCTAACAAACTTGCAAGGCGCCGCCTAGGAGGCACTGAACTGGTTTTGGAGCCTATTTTATATTTCATTTCTCACGCCCTTCTGCTCCTCCTAGTTCCCCATCCCCTCCCCACACCTTGCTCCTGGCTGTTAAAGACTCCTTGCTGCCAGCAGGAGGCAGCGCTACAAGAGGGGGCCACCCCCACTGTGTGTTGCGGGGGGTGGAGGGGGAGCACAAACCTGGACTCAAATAAGCAGCTACATAATAAGTATAAAGAACACACACAGATAGACACACAACGCCCAGGACTGCTGGCTGCTGTTCCCCGACAAGCCACCTCCCTCCTCTTCCTCGGGATGTCACTGCCTCCCCAATATGCCTTTGCTGGCAGAGCAGCTGCCCCTACATGTGTGCCCCCTGGGAGTGGATTTGGGGGCTAGCACTTCATAGTCTCCGGTTGAAAACTTGGCACTGTACCAAAAGCCAGGCTCTCTTCCCCTCCTGAGTAGCTGAGATGTGGAAGGACTTCCCCGGCTCTGCCCAGACCTCAGGCCAGGGGTCTTGGGTACATGTGTTTCTCAGGAGGTTAGACTGCTTGTGTGGGTCTCTAGCCACGTAGTGACAAGGCAGGGGTAGGGGTGCCCATCTACAGCTCTGCTAGCAACCAGCAGCATTGGTAGTTTAAAGGAACCGGCCTGCTCAAGAGTTACCTTTTCCCGCATCCAGCTTCACAGCCCGCATTTGCCCTGGGGCTGGTTACCGAAGTCCAGGGTAAAGGGGTTGCCAGACAGCTAGGAATCCAGCAGGCTTCTGCGAGGTGAGCCTCGGAGTGTGCAGGGGGATCTGGGGTTGGGTGTCCTGGGGCTGTTTGTGCAGCACAGTCCCTAGCTGGGTGTTTGCATGAGTGTGTGTCAAGCTGGGGGGTTGCATGTGTGCCTGGCTGTGGATGGATGCAGGGTTTTGCAGCACGGCGGGGGGTGCATCTGCCCACACTTACTCCTGCTCTCCCCTAACAGTCGTAGCCGCCAGATCAGCACGAACACGGAACGCTGACCTGGAACGGGACAGCCAGCACCGGGCCCCGGTGGATTTGTCATGGTGAAGTGCCCGTGAGCTGGGAGGCCCATCCCTGGCATTAAGCTACACAGGGCTGTGCCGCGGGGACTCAGTGCCCTGTGCCTTCCCTTTCCCAGTAAGATGCCATCCCATGAGGAATGGGAATCTCAGGTCTTGCTCAGTGGCCATTCTCCCCCTGCCCCTCCAGACTCACAGCCAGTCTCACCTACTCCACACCCGGTCCCATTGAAAAGAATGGGGACTCCCCACACAGGAAGGTGTTACTCAGTGGGAGTAAAGGTGGCAGAGTCAGACCTGCCTCTTTTACAAAACATCCGTTAGCCTCAGTGGCCGCGGCCTGCGAAAGCACCGACTGGATACACGGTGGGCAGAGCTGGCAGGCCAGAGCCCATAAGCCCTGCTGGATTTCTCTCAGTGAGGACATGGTTCTCATTGGAGCACAGGGGGACCCTAGATCACAGCTCCTTGTCACTGAGCTCTGATGGTAAATTTAACGCTGCTTAGCCCAAGGTCTCCGGGGGCTAATGATCATGAGCATCCCAATAATCATGGCCTCGTGGCATCTCCCAGCACCAGGTTACTGGGCACCTGCTTTCCCACGACTGCCAACCTGATGAGGTGCTGCGTCCTTCCTCAGAAGTCAATGGTGAAACCATAGACTGGGGCACAATCACTGTCCCTGCATTAACTGGATTTCGAGTTAGAGGCAGTAGAGCCACCGAAGGGTTAATTTTGGAGGTGGGAGGGTGGGGACAGATTTAGGGATGACCGTCTGTGTTCTGTTCATAACCTGGTCTGATGGACACACCTCCCTCATTGCTTATAAGCTGGGCTTTGCCATGGTGGTTGGATAAATACAGTGAGAGAACAGGAACGGGGAGCTGCTGCAGGCCAGTGCACTTCCGTAAAGACCTTGCAGCAGCTGTGCCAAAGGAAGGGCTCGCTGATTCAGCATGATCTGGATCGCTTGGTAAACTGGGTGCAAGCAAACAATACTCATTTTAATAGGGGTAAATGTCCAAGTACACATCTGGTAACAAAGAACATAGACCATGCTTGCAGCCTGGGGGACTCTCTCCTGGCACGCAGGGACTGAAAGAGATTTGGAGGTGTGGGTGGATAATCAGTGAACGTGAGTTCCCAGTGCAACTCTGTGGCCAAAAGAGCTAATGCTATCCTGGGGTGCATCAATGGGAATGATGAGTAGAAGCAGAGAGGTTCTTTTGTCTCTGTATTTGGCACTGGTGCGACCACTGCTGGAATCCTGTGTCCAGGTCTGATGCTCACCATTCCAGAAGGATGTGGGTAAATTGGAGAAGGGTCAGAGAAGAGCCACGAGACTGATTAAAGGCTTAGAAACCCTGCCTTGGAGTGACAGACTCAAGGAGCTCAGTCTATTTAGCTAACAAAGAAAAGGTTAAGGGGTGACTTGTAGATTCTTATAGATTGTGATCGTGGGGAGCAACCATTGAATAATGGGTGCTTCCGTCTAGCCGATGAAGGTCTAACACAAGCCAGTGGCTGACAGTTGAAGCTAGACCCATTCAGACTGGAAAGGAGGTGTACATGTTTCATGGGTAGAGTAATTAGCCATTGGAGTGATTTAGCAAGGGTCGAGGTGGATTCTCCATCAGTGACAATGTTAAAATCAGGACTGGCTGTTTCTTAAAAAGCTCTGCTCTAGGGATTACTGTGGGGAAGTCCTATGGCTGGTACCATGCTGGGGGGGGGGGTCAGACCAGGTGATCCCAGTGGGCCCTTCTGGTCTTGGAATCTGCATCTATGCCTGGCCTCCTCCATGCCATGCATGTTGAGCTGGTAGAGTGTGAGGGTGCTCAAGCTGTCTGCCTCTTGCCCTTCCCTGCTTCCACCCCCACCCCAAACCTACAACATCTGTACTGGCTGACAGAAGGTGACGTTGGGAAGGAGGAGGGATTTGTGATGAGTGAGTGCGTGACTGGAGGGGAGGAAGCTAGGGGCAGGGTGTCCTGGCTGAACGGCAGTGGCTATGTGGTCTTTAAGGTTTGGGTTTGGAAAGGGGAGAGCTGGTCTTTCCCGCATCTGATTGGATAGGAATGAATAGTACTCAACCAGCTTGCTAGAGAAATGATGAGTTATGATTGGTTGAGAGCTGATCTAATCCACCCCCCTCCCTTCCTCACCCCTTTACCTTAAGAAGCCAGAAGCACTGGCCTTACACCCAGGATAGCTCAGAGGTGCCATCGTCACCAGGTGGCCGACAGCAGTGCGGTGGGGACAGAGAACCACCATTTGGTTATTACAGGAGAAGGGAGCCACACGAGGGCTACCCTTGGCCTGCTGTATTTTGCACTGAACAGTAGCTGAGCAGAAGGGATCCTGGAGCAATGGGAGCCATGTCAAAGACCCTGGATAGGCAGACTGAGCTACTATGGATAGAATGGCCCAGTGATTGGGGATCTCCATTGATTTTGGTGAGTTGCACCGGAGATGAGCAGGGCCCGTTGATTTTGGTGGAGTCACACTGTAGTTGACTCCCATGGTTTTGATCTTACTGTTCATCTCTCCTGTAGCCTGCCAGGCTTTCAACAGCATGCTGGGGGTTGGCTCTCCTGTTCCTTGAGAAACATTTCAGCCAAGCAGAGCAGCCCTGTGCCTCTCTGAAGTAGATGTGTGATGGGCGGGGCTGGAGAGGGGGGATTGCATTAAGAATAAAGGCCAAGCTAGTAGCATGTACAATCCACCTCTGATGTGAAAAGCAAAGGTCTCTGAACTGCAGCCAAGGAGCCGCGTCCCTGGGCTCCGAAGGTCTTAGTCTTTTTGAAAATGGTTATTTTAAGGATCTGTAAAAGGCCTTTAAGAAAGCACAACCTCTTCTTCCTCCCTCCCTGGCCTTTTCTTTCGCCTTCTCTCTCCCGCTCCTCATGCAAAGCACAGCAGATCACCACGATGTACATAGATCCAAAGGGGAGTTCCCAGCCCGCCCCACCAGCCCAGGGGTGTGTGGGTGTGTGTGTGTATGTGTGTGTCGCATCTCAACCCTGTTACTCTTACACTGTGTAATAAAGATTAGTTATAACCTCTCTCCGTCCCGTCTCTCCTGCCCCTCTTATTGTGACCAGAGCTGATGATGACGCGTGACAACTGTTTGTTTTTTGGTTTTATTTTTCATTTTGTACAGAGAAAAAAATTTCCTTTTAAAAAAATGTCTTTCGACTGAAGTAACTTTTCTGGTGCTGTTGTTAACTTGTTCCTTTTTTTAATTTATTTCCCCCCCACACCCCTGCTACCCTTTCCTCACCCTCTCTTTTTCTTTTGTTTTTTGGATAATTATCCTGTTCCCCACCCCATCCTTGATTTAAATAGTCACTGCTACAAGTAACGAATGCACTGTGAAGATTCCAGTATTAATAAAAGTTGTACTGTAATTAATACTTGGGACTCACGTTTGTTCTTGTGTCTCACCTGTTCTTTCACCTGTCCCACTTCCTTGCTCCACAACTCCTGACTGAGCTTGTAGAAGGAAGGTAATATGGATGGGGGATGAAGTGGACGAGGCTTTCTTCCGGCAACTCACGGAAGTTACTAGATCGCAGGCCCTGGTTCTCATGGGAGACTTCAATCACCCTGATATCTGCTGGGAGAGCAATACAGCGGTGCACAGACAATCCAGGAAGTTTTTGGAAAGTGAAGGGGACAATTTCCTGGTGCAAGTGCTCTTCTTGACCTGCTGCTCACAAACCGGGAAGAATTAATAGGGGAAGCTAAAGTGGATGGGAACCTGGGAGGCAGTGACCATGAGATGGTTGAGTTCAGGATCCTGACACAGGGAAGAAAGGAGAGCAGCCGAATACGGACCCTGGACTTCAGAAAAGAAGACTTTGACTCCCTCAGGGAACTGATGGGCAGGATCCCCTGGGAGAATAACATGAGGGGGAAAAGGAGTCCAGGAGAGCTGGCTGTATTTTAAAGAATCTTTATTGAGGTTACAGGGACAAACCATCCCGATGTGTAGCAAGAATAGTAAATATGGCAGGCGACCAGCTTGGCTTAACAGTGAAATCCTTGCTGATCTTAAATACAAAAAAGAAGCTTACAAGAAGTGGAAGATTGGACAAATGACCAGGGAAGAGTATAAAAATATTGCTCGGGGATGCAGGAGTGAAATAAGGATGGCCAAATAACACCTGGAGTTGCAGCTAGCAAGAGATGTTAAGAGTAACAAGAAGGGTTTCTTCCGGTATGTTAGCGACAAGAACAAAGTCAAGGAAAATGTGGGCCCCTTACTGAATGAGGGAGGCAACCTAGTGACAGAGGACGTGGAAAAAGCTAATGTACTCAATGCTTTTTTTGCCTCTGTCTTCACGAACAAGGTCAGCTCCCAGACTGCTGCACTGGGCAGCACAGCATGGGGAGGAGGTGACCAGCCCTCTGTGGAGAAAGAAGTGGTTCGGGACTATTTAGAAAAGCTGGACGAGCACAAGTCCATGGGGCCAGATGTGCTGCATCCGAGGATGCTAAAGGAATTGGCGGATGTGATTGCAGAGCCATAGGCCATTATTTTTGAAAACTCATGGCGATCAGGGGAGGTCCCGGATGACTGGAAAAAGGCTAATGTAGTGCCCATGTTTAAAAAAGGGAAGAAGGAGGATCCGGGGAACTACAAACCGGTCAGCCTCACCTCAGTCACTGGAAAAATCATGGAGCAAGTCCTCAAGGAATCAATTCTGAAGCACTTCGAGGAGAGGAAAGTGATCACTTAGAGGATCAGGAACAGTCAGCATGGATTCACAAAGGGCAAGTCATGCCTGACTAATCTAATTGCCTTCTATGACGAGATAACTGGCTCTGTGGATGAGGGGAAAGCAGTGGACGTGTTATTCCTCGACTTTAGCAAAGCTTTTGATACGGTCTCCCACAGTATTCTTGCCAGCAAGTTAAAGAAGTATGGGCTGGATGAATGGACTATAAGGTGGCTAGAAAGCTGGCTAGATCATCAGGCTCAACAGGTGGAGCCATTGATCACTATGTCTAGTTGGCAGCCGGTATCAAGTGGAGTGCCCTAAGGGTTGGTCCTCGGGCTGGTTTTGTTCAATATCTTCATAAATGATCTGGAGAATGGTGTGGATTGCACCCTCAGCAAGTTTGCAGATGACACTAAACTGGGAGGAGAGGTAGATACACTGGAGGGTAGGGATAGGATACAGAGGGACCTAGACAAATTAGAGGACTGAGCCAAAAGAAATCTGATGAGGTTCAACAAGGACAAGTGCAGAGTCCTGCACTTAGGACGGAAGAACCCCATGCACCGCTACAGACTAGGGACCGAATGGCTCGGCAGCAGTTCTGCAGAAAAGGACCTAGGGGTTACAGTGGACGAGAAGCTGGATATGAGTCAACAGTGTGCCCTTGTTGCCAAGAAGGCTAACGGCATTTTGGTCTGTATAAGTAGGCACATTGCCAGCAGATCGAGGGACGTGATCATTCCCCTCTATTTGGCATTTGTGAGGCCTCATCTGGAGTACTGTGTCCAGTTTTGGGCCCCACACTACAAGAAGGATGTGGAAAAATTGGAAAGAGTCCAGCAAAGGGCAGCAGAAATGATTAGGGGGTTGGAGCACATGATTTACAAGGAGAGGCTGAGGAAACTGGGATTATTTAGTCCGCAGAAGAGAAGAATGAGGGGGGATTTGATAGCTGCTTTCAACTACCTGAAAGGGGTTTCCAAAGAGGATGGATCTAGACTGTTCTCAGTGGTAGCAAATGACAGAACAAGGAGTAATGGTCTCAAGTTGCAGTGGAGGAGATTTAGGTTGGATATTAGGAAAGCCTTTTTCTCTAGGAGGGTGGTGAAGCACTGGAACGGGTTACCTAGGGAGGTGGTGGAATCTCTTTCCTTTGAGGTTTTTAAGGTCAGGCTTGACAAAGCCCTGGCTGGGATGATTTAGTTGGTGTTGGTCCTGCTTTGAGCAGGGGGTTGGACTAAATGACCTCCAGAGGTCCCTTCCAACCCTGATATTCTATGAGTCTATGTTCGGCTCATTTGTAAGTGTGGGGCGACACAGCCTGCATTGTTTCTGTGGGGCTGCTCACGAACGCCGGCTCTGCCCAGCCTGGTTTGATATTGGAGGGCTGAGCGGCTGTCTTTGTACCCTCCCATCCCCAAAGGGGTGCTGGCCTTTTCCCGGAGCAGCGACGGGCATGGCCAGTGACCTGGCTGCGTCTCTGTAAGACACCAATGAACTGTCCAGCCTGCCTGAGCACAGGGCAGCAGTCTGACAGGACGTTTGTTGTGGTCCATGGAATCCCAGGCATGACTGGGGGAGTTCAGAGGCCTGCCTGCAGATGTAGGCGCCCATTGGGGCTTGAAACAGGGAGCTCGACTCATCTCTAGGCTGGCGTCTCCTCCTGGCGGCTCTGGGGATTCGCTTCGCAAGGTCCATGCCACTTCCTGTGGTTGCAGGCTGGCTCTCCAGCCATTTCTCTGGGTCTACAGCTCCCTGCCAGGACTCAGCTCCCTGGCTGGGTCACGCTCCATGCTTTCCCCTTCTGTGCCACGAAAGGCTTGTTTCTGCACCCCCATTCACTGCCCCAGGTGCCACCCCCTCAGCAACGGGCAGGGAACCTGGGCCCACCCTCTGCTCTGGGCTCTGACTCAGGGACCCTTCAGGCAGCAGCCAAGGTCTGTTTCCTCTGGGCCCTCACTGCCTTTCCCTGAGCCCTTTCCTTAATGCCTGGCACTCTGAGCTTGCCAGTCTCCTAACGCCCTCTTTCCAGGCTGCCTCTGCAGCCTCCAAACCCTTCCCCAGCAACCTCCTCAGCTGCCAGGCTCCTGCCAGGCTCCCTCCCTCCCTCAGGGGATTGCTGAGCCACCTGCTTCCCCAGAGGTGACCTGCTGGGTTAATTAGCCCCTTTCTCAATCTACATTTACCCCTTCAGGGCAAGTGTGGGGAGCGTCCCGCTTCTGCCCTAGTCCTGGCTTAGCCAGACTGGAGCAAGAGACAGATACCAACCTCCTCGAAGAAGGGGGCACTCAGCTGTTTGCACCCCCCGCCCCGGCTTTCACTGAGCACCTGGGTCTGGGCTGTTTGGTCCATTGTGTTTGGTGATTCAACGGCCTGGAGGCCTCCCTAAGGAAGTGGGGTCCAAGTTCTCCCCGGGGGGTGGGGGGGGCCTGCTCCCCTGGTGAGGACGCTGTCAAAGTTGCTACTGCCGCTGCCCCATGAGGAATCATCGCAAGGCCCTGGCCCGTGTGGCTGGAGATGTGAAGGGGGATTTTCCCTGGAAGAGACCAGAGTCTCCCATTTCAGACCTGAAATTCACAGAGCTGTTGAGCTGAAACCGTCACAAGCTGCGACAGGCTGCATGTCCATTGTCCCCTTCCAGGCCAATGCTGGCAAGCTGCTGCTGGCTCTGTGCAGAGACCGGCTCTGCGGGAGCGCGGGGCCGGGGGGCTCTATGGGGCAAGCAGACTGGGTTCTTTGCACTCCCTCTGGGAACTGCGCTTCTCTCCTGAGAGGTGGCTGTGGGGGGCAGGTGCGTGCTGGTCTCAGCTTTCCCCATGCACCTCACTGCTGACCTGCCTCATCCCCAGTTCTGTCAGCATTGCCCATCTGCCAGAGCTGCTGTTCTCCAGTGTGCACCACAGGCCTGCCAACCCCTTCTCCTCCAGCCTGATCCGCAGCATCACCCTATTATCCCAGTGCTGGGACCCCCACCCCCACCACCTGGTCAGCATGTTAGCCCCAGCCTGCAACATCCACCCCAGCTAGGGACAATGGGGATTAGCCAGTCATCCTCCACTCTGCAAAATAGGCTTGCTTGTCTCTGTTTCGACCATATCCATGGCATGAGCATGGTGCATTTCATCCCCGTTTTGATGCTGAGCACCTCTGGGCATTGAGATTATCACATTAAAAAGTGAGGCCGAGGAGAAGGCAAGACCCAAAGAGCCCAGTGGCCCTGGGTGAGAAACGAGGAGAAGGAAGATGTGCTATAATGGAACTAGAAGAGGGGCAGGCCCAGGAATAAGTAGTTATGGATTGTGTGGACTATGTCTTAATGATCATGCCAATACAGATAGGAGAGGGGCAGCTCCCAATATCCTATGCATACGAGCAAGTCTGCCACTAGTTACACATCCAAACCACTTTATGTCCCACAATATTTTTGGTGTCTCAAGTTCAGAGAAGAAGCCAATAAAAAAAAAAGGCCTCAAAAGTTTTAAAATAGAATACCGCAGCAGTTAAAACTAAAAATAATGCTAATTACGTCATTTAACATCTTTTAATGTTTGAAAGGCAACTCTTGCATGAATAGACCATATTTAAATTTTAGAATTTCTTAACCCCTGACTTAACCACTCAGCACTAGCAAAATGAGAGCTTTGTTTGGTAATACCATCCCAACTAAGGTTCAGGCACTATCATAGGCC